GCTGCCACACCAAAGCATTGATTTCCTACACATGCAGAATTCATTTTATGGTCACGTAGGTATAAATGGGATCTCACAGAAAAAAACAGCAGCCATTGCCGCTAGGAGCCATTTATTTGACAATCCCTGAAGACGACCCCCCTGCTGCGAGTTGTCAGTGGAGACGCCCCCTTCGATTGCAGCCACTTCTGGGGCCAGGCAAACGTTTCTGTACCGTGACTATTCGCCTGGCACTGAGGTGCAGCCACCTCTGGAGTTCTGCGCAGTCAAGAAAATACCGGGTTTGGGCAGGAGTTGAATGAGTCTGTGCCTTGGACCGCACCTTTTCCTTGAGAATTACCGTACATAACTTTATGACATAGCAATTGTTGTTATACTTTTCCATTCACCATATAGATAGGGTATGTACCTTTGGTTTTATTTCACATGATTTTGACATTATAGTTTATGTGTATAAAGGTAAAATGTAAAGGGACCCCTAACCATTAGGTCCAGTCGTGACCAACTCTGGGGTTGTGGCGCTCATCTCGCTTTACCGGCCGAGGGAGCCGGCGTACAGCTTCCGGGTCATGTGGCCAGCAGGACTAAGCCGCTTCTGGCGAACCAGAGCAGCGCACGGAAATGCCGTTCACCTTTCCACTGGAGCGGTACCTATTTATCTACTTGCACTTGGACGTGCTTTTGAACTGCTAGGTGGGCAGGAGCAGGGACCGAGCAACGGGAGCTCACCTCGTCGTGGGGATTTGAACCGCCAACCTTCTGATCAGCAAGTCCTAGGCGCTGTGGTTTAACCCACAGCGCCACCCGCGTTTCATACACTTTGTGTGTATAGTTCATAATATTTTGAGTTTATTGTAGTTACCATGCATATGCAGGTCATTGTTTTAGTATTTTTTTATAGTTTATGAAGCAATTCTGTATCCTTCTGCTGTGCTGAAGAAGAATTCCACCAAACAGTGGCTATATCCGGAATCACTGTTCACAACGTCTGTTTGCGAACCATTTTGGCAGCGTTGGACGCCATAAACAAAGCTTTACAGCCTCTTTTCACCAGATAAGAATCTGATACATTGCTTCTTTCAGAGACCTATAAGACTTATGTTTATTTGGTTTTATATTTTCAAGAGAATCCATTAAGAGTGCATATTTTGTGACTTTCAGAGATTCATACGTTTTCTGTTTATGTGATTTAATATATTTCATATTATATAAAGAGTGTATATTGATATTGTATCATTGACAAGGTGCCTCATGATATTCTTGTAAAGAAGCTGGTGAAATGTGGTCTTGACTATGCTACCACTCAGTGGATTTGTAACTGGCTGACTGACCGAACCCAAAGGGTGCTCATCAATGGTTCCTCTTCATCCTGGAGAAGAGTGACTAGTGGGGTGCCACAGGGTTCTGTCTTGGGCCCGGTCTTATTCAACATCTTTATCAACGACTTGGATGATGGACTCAAGGGCATCCTGATCAAATTTGCAGATGACACCAAATTGAGAGGACAGGATCACACTTCAAAACGACCTTGACAGATTAGAGAACTGGGCCAAAACAAACAAGATGAATTTTAACAGGGAGAAATGTAAAGTATTGCACTTGGGCAAAAAAATGAGAGGCACAAATACAAGATGGGGACACCTGGCTTGAGAGCAGTACATGTGAAAAGGATCTAGGAGTCTTGGTTGACCACAAACTTGACATGAGCCAACAGTGTGACGCGGCAGCTAAAAAAGCCAATGCAATTCTGGGCTGCATCAATAGGAGTATAGCATCTAGATCAAGGGAAGTAATAGTGCCACTGTATTCTGCTCTGGTCAGACCTCACCTGGAGTACTGTGTCCAGTTCTGGGCACCACAGTTCAAGAAGGACACTGACAAACTGGAACGTGTCCAGAGGAGGGCAACCAAAATGGTCAAAGGCCTGGAAACCGTGCCTTATGAGGAATGGCTAAGGGAGCTGGGCATGCAGGGAGAAAGGTTGTTTTCTGCTGCTCCAGAGAAGCGGACACGGAGCAATGGATCCAAACTACAAGAAAGAAGATTCCACCTAAGCATTAGGAAGAACTTCCTGACAGTAAGAGCTGTTCGACAGTGGAATTTGCTGCCCAGGAGTCTGGTGGAGTCTCCTTCTTTGGAGGTCTTTAAGCAGAGGCTTGACAACCACATGTCAGGAGTGCTCTGATGGTGTTTCCTGCTTGGCAGGGGGTTGGACTCGATGGCCCTTGTGGTCTCTTCCAACTCTATGATTCTATGATTCTATGAATTGGTCATCGTGGTGCCTTGGATATTACTACAGAACCTTTTCCTTGAGAACGGGGAGCCGGCGGCCACTGAGGCACAATTTCTCCTGACTCAGCAACTAGGTTCTCTGACGCATATAAAAGGGAAAACACTGCCAAGGCAAAGTTGGTTTAGATACCCGTTTGCAGATAACATATCAGAAACAGAGGCACAATGTGCATGTAATCTGGATTGTGTAAAATTATGTAAGAATTCATAAAGGGGCGATCACAGAGTTCACGCAGAGCAGAATCCCGTTGACCCAGAGACTCTGGGCAGCTCCCTACAGAATAGGAAAAACACGATAAAACATCAAACATTAAAAGCTTCCCTAAACAGGGCTGCCTTCAGATGTCCTCTAAAAGTCAGGTAGTTGTTTATTTCCTTGACATCTGGTGGGAGGGTGTTCCACAGGGCGGGCGCCACCACCGAGAAGGCCCTGTGCCTGGTTCCCTGTAACTTGGCTTCTCGCAGGGAGGGAACTGCCAGAAGGCCCTCGGAGCGGGACCTCAGTGTCCGGGCAGAAAGATGGGGGTGGAGATTCTCCTTCAGGTCTCCTGGGCCTTTGAGGCCGTTTAGGGTTTTCAAGGTCAGGACCAACACTTTGAATTGTGCTCGGGAACAGATTGGGAGCCAGTGTAGGTCTTTCAGGACCTGTGTTATATGGTCTCGGCGGCCACTCCCAGATTGATTGATTGATTGATTGATAATACATTTCTATGTTGCTTTCCATTCAGATGAATCCTAAACAATATATAACGGGGACACAACAAAATGTCACAAGTACAGCATGAATTATATGTGATGCGATTAACAAATCATCGAAAGGAACATAAGGACATAAGAGTAGATTGCTGGACCAGACAAAGATCCCATCGAGACCAACATTCTCACAGTGGCCAAAAAAAGATGCCCATTATGGGAAACCTCCAAGCAGGATTCGAACCCACATCTCCCGTAGTTTCCCACAACTGGCATTCAGAAGCATTGCTCCCTCTGACCATGGAGGAAAAGTATAGCCCCTGTGGCTGGCAGCCATCAATAGCCCCCTCCTCCTCCAGGAATTTGCCCACTCCTTTTTTAAAGCCATCCATATTGGTGGCCATCACTGTCCCTTGTGGCGGGGAGTTCCACAGTTTAATTCTGCACCGCACAAATAAATCCTTTCTTTTCTCTGTCCTGAATTTCCCAACATTTGGCTCCCTCCATGTTCCAGGGTTATGGAAGGGAGAAAAACTTTTAGAAACTTCGATCGTGTCGCCTCTTCCTCGTCTAAAGCAATTACAACCTCCTTCTTGGTCGTTTCCAGGGTGTGTCTGCTGTTGCATTTGACCTGGTCTTACGATGCTGCTTGTGAATGAACGAAACTTTCTTTGTGTCAGCCGTCGGCCATAGCAACAAAAGAACATTGCAACATACACAGAACAAAATAAAAAGTTGATTATATAAAACACAGTTTAGGGTCCTGAACCAAATAGCGGACCTTATACAAGATTCTGCTTGTGTGTGAAGCGTGTGGCATTAAGGGGGGTGGAGTAAAGGAACCCTGGATACTTGTTGTTTAGTTGTTTAGTCATGTCTGACTCTTTGTGGCCCCCTGGACCAGAGCACGCCAGGCACTCCTGTCTTCCAGAAAGTGAGGAGGAATTAAAAAACCTTTTAATGGGGGTGAAAGAGGAGAGCGCAAAATATGGTCTGAAGCTCAACATCAAAAAAACGAAGATCATGGCCACTGGGCCCATCACCTCCTGGCAAATAGAAATGGAGGCAGTGAGAGATTTTACTTTCTTGGGCTGCACGATCACTGCAGATGGTGACAGCAGTCACAAAATTAAAAGACGCCTGCTTCGTGGGAGAAAAGCGATGACAAACCTAGACAGCATCTTAAAAAGCAGAGACATCACCTTGCCAACAAAGGTCCGTATAGTTTTCCCAGTAGTGATGTATGGAAGTGAGAGCTGGACCATAAAGAAGGCTGATCGCTGAAGAATTCATGCTTTTGAATTCTGGTGCTGGAGGAGACTCTTGAGAGTCCCATGGACTGCAAGAAGATCCAACCTCTCCATTCTGAAGGAAATCTGCCCTGGTTGCTCACTGGAAGGACAGATCCTGAAGCTGAGGCTCCAAGACTTTGGCCACTTCATGAGAAGAGAAGACTCCCTGGAAAAGACCCTGATGTTGGGATAGATGGAGGGCACAAGGAGAAGGGGACGATGGAGGGCGAGATGGTGGGACAGTGTTCTCAAAGCTACCAGCGTGAGTTTGACCAAACTGGGGGAGGCAGTGGAAGACAGGCGTGCCTGGCGTGCTCTGGTCCATGGAGTCACGAAGAGGCGGACACCACTAAACGACTAAACAACAACAAGTTGCCAGGATGATGCCCGCCCCACCCGCAACGTGAAACTACTTTGCTGGTGCCCGGGAGCAGCCCGGACGCATGGAAGTAGCCAGGACGGGGTTTTTTTGGGGGGGGGGGACTTTTTTGGGGGGTGCAGAACCGACGGGATTGGTCAGTTAGAGAAGTATTTTTACTGTCTTGATTTGGCGGGGGGGCGCAGCTGCCCCCCCACGGCAAGTCCAATGCTCGGACGCACAGTTGGCGCATCCCCCCACAGGCTCGGATCTGGGGAGGGGGTGGCAGAAGGGCGCAACAGACACCCCCCCCCCGCTCAGGTGGGGGCTGGCTGCGGTTCTCCCTTTGTTCTCTACCGCTTGCCCCGCCCCTTTTGCGTGGGCGGGCGCCCCCTCCCGCCCCAGGCGACTTAGAGACGCGCTCCTCCGCTGGTGTTAAAAACTCCCACGCTTTGCGCCGCGACTGCGGAGTCGCACTTTCCCACCTCTCGCCGGCACGAATCTTCCCAGGTGGGAAAAGATCTCACTTTTTCTCGAGGGATCGGGAAGGCTGCGCCTGCCACGGGTGGCGTGGGGCGTATAATAAAAAACGCAGGTTACTGGTAACGCAAAGGGAGGCTTTGGAGACGCGCGTCGCCGGCGGAGGAGGATGGAGTGTGTCATCCGAGAAGCCACCGTCGAGGATTGCGAGAATCTCATGAGCCTGATACACGTGAGTGCGGTCTTGAGTTCGAATCCCGCTGACAGGTTTCTCGCCACTGTGAGAACAGGCTGCTGGGTGTCAGGTTTATGCATAAGCTAAGCAAGCTATAGCTCAAGGCTCCACACTCTTACCCCCCACCATTAAAAAAATATTTATTAAAAGTTTTCAATCAAACCAAATTACCGTATTTTTCGCTCTATAACACGCACCAGACCATAACACGCACGTAGTTTTTAGAGGAAGAAAACAAGGAAAAAAATATTCTAAACGAAATAGTGGATATATGATTTTTGTGGTTCATGCTGTGGCCACAGACATGTGATCTGACAGTGAGTTTGGAGTAGCCCAATGCAAAAATCCTGAGGATCCATGTGGATCCATGCTTTGTAACCACGGAGGAGGGAAGGAAGGGGAACCATGGATCCTCTGCTCACGCCTGCAGCAGATCCCCCCCCGCCACCCGCAGGCATTCGCTCCATAACACGCACAGACATTTCCCCTTACTTTCTAGGAGGAAAAAAGTGAGTGTTATGGTGCAAAAAATACGGTATATATTCCAAATTATACAAATTATGGGGGCCCCAAAATTTTAAAAAGGAAACAACAACTGGATGTACATTTCCAAAATATAAGATAAAAAACTAATAAAATAAAACCTGCGTACAGCAACAGTGTTTTGTGTTGTGTAGGCTCCTATCTGTTATGTGCAAATGGCTTTAAAGGTAAAGGGACCCCTGACCGTTAGGTCCAGTCGTGACCGACTCTGGGGTTGTGGCGCTCATCTCGCTTTATTGGCCGAGGGAGCCGGCGTACAGTCATGTACGGTCATGTGGCCAGCATGACTGAGCCACTTCTGGCGAACCAGAGCAGCGCACAGAAACGCTGTTTTCCTTCCCGCCGGAGCGGTACCTGTTTATCTACTTGCACTTTGACATGCTTTTGAACTGCTAGTTTGGCAGGAGCAGGGACCGAGCAACGGGAGCTCACCCTGTCACGGGGATTCGAACTGCCGACCTTCTGATCGGCAAGTCCTAGGCTCTGTGGTTTAACCCACAGTGCCACCCGCGTCCCTTGCAAATGGCTTTAGATACATATTAAAAAGGTAAAGGTAAAGGACCCCTGACAGTTAAGTCCAGTCGCAGACGACTCTGGGGTTGCGGCGCTCATCTCGCTTTACTGGCCGAGGGAGCCGGCGTACAGCTTCCGGGTCATGTGGCCAGCAGGACAAAGCTGCTTCTGGCGAAACCAGAGCAGTGCACAGAAACGCCGTTTACCTTCCCGCCGGAGTGGTACCTATTTATCTACTTGCACTTTGACGTGCTTTCAAACTGCTATACCTTTTAGGTCCATAAATGACCATATAGCATATATTCAACACAAATAAACCCAGTGACAAATTGTTGTTGACAAAGGACAGCTGGACATAGAAAGGGCCCCATTACCTTCAGGAGCTTAGGGCCTCATCAAACCTAAATCCGGCCCTGGTGCTGGGCTCAAGTCGGTAGAGCACAAGACGCTTCATCTTAGGGTCACGGGTTCGAGTTCCGCATCAGGCTAAAGATGCCTGCATTGCGGGGGCCGGGGTTCAGCTAGATGTCCCTTGGGGTCCCGTCCAACTCTACCGTTCTGTGATTCTACACCACTCATAGTAGATCACTACTCTGAAGAAGTCTGGCACACGGAGAACCCTGGGCAAGGCCTGGCGCAGCGCCAGGGAGCTTTTGAACGTTGACCTTAATGCCTGCTTTCTGTTCTTCATTCTGCCCAGGAAATTGCTGACTTTCACCACTTACTGGAGGATGTGACGATCAATTCTCAAGGTAAGGCTGGGAGTGCTGCGTTAGGCATGTTGGGCGTGAATCCATAAGCTCTCTCCACACCAAAAAAGAGTTCCAAGAAGTTTTGCTGCAGACTGCCTCTAAAGTTGTTACCCCAAAATGTTGCAAATACAAATCAGCCCATCGCTCTTAAGCAAGTTGGCGATGCAGTCCGGAGTTTTCTTTTAAGTTCTTACTTGTTAATATAGTTAATATAGCGTACTGGGACTTTTCTGTTTCATATTTATTTATTTGATCAGTTTTGTACACCGCTTTATGGTAAAACAAAAAAACAAAACACCCTCAAAACTGCTTCCCCAAAAAAGATGAAGCAATAAAATCATCAATCAGAAGGCTCATCGTGAGTTCTTGAAACCCTCTAACCACTGCACCACACTGCCACCATTCGTTGACTCTGCCTCTTTCGTTGGTTGCGGCTCCACCCGAACCGACGGCAAAACGGGAGAGTCCAACTAAACTTTAGCAAGAATTTTATGGTGGTGAAAGCGGTTTGAAACTGGAACGGACTCCCTTGGAAGATGGTGGACTCTCTTTCAGAGGTTTTTAAACAGGTTTGATAGCCATCTGTTGGGGATTCTTGAATCGAGATTCCTGCATTGCAGGGGGTTGGACTAGATGACCCCCAGGTCCCTTCCAACTCTGCAATTCCATTTGGCCAGGTCGAGAGTGGACTCAACCTAAAACACTTTTTCCTTCCTTCTTTTCCTTCCCGGCACGCAGTTTTAAAAGCGGACGGCTTTGGCAAGGACCCCTTCTTCAAATGCCTCCTGGCTGAACAGCCTGTGGAAAACGGGTGCAAGCCAGGTAAGGGCCACGCCCACCCTAAGCTCAGCTCCTTGGTGTAAATTACTCCAAGGTGTAAAGTGCTAGTAAGTTGAAGGAGCAGAGCAAGAGGAATAATTTCTCTCTCTCCTGCCGCCGTTTACTCCATTGCATGAAAACCTATCCTTTGCTATTTCCCCCAATGCACCCCCACCCTAAGCTCAGCTCCTTGGTGTAAATTACTCCAAGGTGTAAAGTGCTAGTAAGTTGAAAGGACAGAGCAAGAGGAATAGTATTTTCTCCTACCACCGTTTACTCCATTGCACGAAGACCTATCCTTTGCTATTTTCCCCACTGCAGCTCGTCCGATTGGCCATGCCCTGTACTTCTTTGGGTACAACGTCAACCACGGGAGAATGGTGTACCTGGAAAACCTATACGTGGTGGCAGAATTCAGAGGTACGTGAGGGCATCATCCAGGAGCGTCCGGCCAAGTTACAGCAGGGGCTGTGACGCACCTGGGGGAGCCTGTCGACCAATCAAGAGTCTCCTCTCTCCTTCTTCGGAGAAGATGCTACAACTCAGCTTTTCTGGTGGGTATATAGAATGGTAGAGCTGGAAAGGGACATCTGTGGGTCATCTAGCCCAACCCTCAGCAATGCCAGAATCGCAGATGATGATGATGATGATGATTATCATCATCATCATTTATCATTTATACCCTGCCCATCTGGCTGGGTCTGGGTGGCTTCCAACAAAATATTAAAATACAATACAGTGGTACCTTGGTTTAAGAACAGCTTAGTTTATGAACAGGGACGCGGGTGGTGCTGTGGGTTAAGCCACAGAGCCTAGGACTTGCCGATCAGAAGGTCCCAGAACTTCCCTAAACAGGGCTACCTTCAGATGTCTTCTAAAAGTCAGGTAGTTGTTTATTTCCTTGACATCTGGTGGGAGGGAGTTCCATAGGGCGGGTGCCACCACTGAGAAGGCCCTCTGCCTGGTTCCCTGCAACCTCACTTCTCACAGGGAGGGAACCGCCAAAAGGCCCTCGGAGCTGGACCTCACTGAATGATGGGGGTGGAGACGCTCCTTCAGGTTTGAGGCCATTTAGGGCTTTCAAGGTCAGCACCAACACTTTGAACTGTGCTCAGAAACGTATTGGGAGCCAATGTAGGTCTTTCAGGACCGGTGTTATGTGGTATCAGCGGCCGCTCCCAGTCACCAGTCTGGCTGCCACAATCTTTGGTTGTTGTGCCAAAACTCCAGACTGAAATTCTGAACCAAATTCTGAAATCTGGTATGTCCTGTTAAACTCAGCAGGGTTTACGTCTGAGTGCAGGATTGCTGCATCAATAATAATAAAAATAATAATATTTTATTGATATCCTGCCCTCCCCAGCCGAAGCCAGGCTCAGAGCGGCTAACAACAATAAAAGTAAGACAGTATTCTAAAATCAATTCATTCTAAAAATCAATCCAAAATCAAATTAATGGCACCCATTAATTATTCTCCTAGTTAGCTACAGAGTGGCACACCACAGGTCAGCCTAGATGACCCCTCAGGTCCCTTCCAACTTTCCAGTTCTGTGATTCTTAAAAAAACTAGGCTGTATGTGTTTAGGCAGAAAGATTATCAATAGCTACTCTAGGTCACCGGACTATGGACCTAGGGGAAAGTATGTGGAGTTAGAACAAAATCACTTACAACGGTGTTGGCAATTAGACAAGAATCTATAATGTAGGTAAAGGATTTCGAAAGAGGTTGTGGCTGAACCGAAGGAGAAGGAGCCCTTTCAAAAGTGAAGTTGCTCCTGTTTTTAAAAGAAGTTACACCTCAGAGTAAGACTGGTGTAACTGTGCGACGCCCTCCTATTTAACTGCCTTTTATATAAGTGAAAACATGCATTATTACAACTCAGCACAAGGAAGAACCACACGGCTTGCGAAAATTGTCCCCATCCTCTTTCCTCCTTTTGTAAATAAAGAGTAACTTTGCTGGTGTTAAAATGGTTCGATTCTCGCTTATCTCTTATAGTGTGGTTTTAAAAGCAACTTTGGACTCTGACGGCCGGACTCCTCCTCCCATTTACATCCCAGTGAGAGAGTTGGGAATTGTAGAGTCAGAACCCGCTGCAATGAGGATCTGGCAAATGCCTGAAGAATCACACTAGTTATAGTTCAAAAATTGGATTCTTCTGGTCCCCCCCCCCTTGCTATGGTCTATGTATAATGTTTTACAGTCCAGTGTTTATTAATCTGTGTGCTTTTTACGGAACCCCCTAGTTTTTTGGGTGGAGTTCTTATTCGGAAGCTAGCGCCCTCCAGCTGTTTTGAGCTACAACTCCCATCGGCGCCGCGGCTGGTGGGAGTTGTAGTTCCAAATGGCCGGCGGGCGCCAAGTTGGGGAAGGCTGTTTTTGTTGCGGTTCATACCGACTCCTCTTTCTGTCCACCTTCTCCGCCAGGCAAAGGAATCGGGAAGCAGCTATTGAGCAAAGTAGCAGAGGTGAGTTGGAAGCCTGAAATCCTGGTCATATTTTGATCATTACCTGGGATCTATAGTTTGCAGCCGCCTCCTGCTCCCCGAAAAGGCGTTCCAATTTCTGGGGGCCCCCACCTCCAGCCCAGAATACAGCCCCTACATCAGAAAGAGTAATAGGGTTGCCATCCTTATGGAATCATAGAGTTGGAAGGGACCACCAAAGATCATCTATCCCAACCCCTGCACTTCCTGCAGCCCAAAACATCTGGAGGGCCCCAGATTGGGAAAACAAAGTTTCCAAACAGTGCTCAGCATCCTTAGTGGACTACAATTCCCAGGATCCTTTTGGGCAGGGGGAGGGAATTATTATTTATTTATTTATTTATTTATTTATTTATTTATTTATACCCCGCCCATCTGGCCAGGTTTTCCCAGCCACTCTGGGCAGCTCCCAACAGAATATTAAACACATGATAAAACATCAAACTTCCCTAAACAGGGCTGCCTTCAGATGTCTTCTAAAAGTCAAAAAGCTGTTTATTTCCTTGACATCTGGTGGGAGGGCGTTCCACAGGGCGGGTGCCACCACCAAGAAGGCCCTCTGCCTGGTTCCCTGTAACTTGGCTTCTCGCAGTGAAGGAACCGCCAGAAGGCCCTCGGAGCTGGACCTCAGTGTCCGGGCAGAACGATGGAGGTGGAGACGCTCCTTCAGATATACTGGGCCTTTGAGGCCGTTTAGGGCTTTCAAGGTCAGCACCAACACTTTGAATTGTGCTCAGAAACGTACTGGGAGCCAATGTTGGTCTTTCAAGACCGGTGTTATGTGGTCTCGGTGGCCGCTCCCAGTCACCAGTCCAGCTGCCGCATTCTGGATTAGTTGTAGTTTCCGGGTCACCTTCAAAGGTAGCCTCAAGTAGAGCGCATGGCAGTAGTCCAAGCGGGAAATAACCAGAGCATGTGCCACTCTGGCGAGGCAGTCCACAGGCAGAGAGAGTCTCATCCTGCGTACTAGATGGAGCTGATAGACAGCTGCCCTGGACACAGAATTGACCTGCGCCTCCATGGACAGCGGTGAGTCCAGAATTACTCCCAGGCTGCAAACCTGGTCCTTCAGGGGCACAGTTGCCCCATTCAGGACCAGGGAGTCCTCCACACGTGCCCACCTCCTGTCCCCCCAAAACAGTACTTCTGTCTTGTCAGGATTCAACTTCAATCCATTAGCCGCCATCCATCCTCCAACCGCCTCCAGGCACTCACACAGGACCTTCACTGCCTTCACTGGTTCTGATTTGAAAGAGAGGTAGAGCTGGGTATCATCTGCATACTGATGAACACACTCATCCAAGTGGCGTGGGGAGTGTTTTCAAGGCAAGGTCCTAGAATTGCCGAGTTGGAAGGGACCCCAAGGGTCATCTAGTCCAACCCGCTTGAGTGCTCCCAGGGCCAGATTTAGGTTTGATGAGGCCCTAAGCTACTGAAGGTAATGGGGCCCTTTAAATGTCCAAATTGTCGCTGTTTTTTGTGTGCTGAATATATGCTATATGGCAATTTATGGATCTAATAAGTATCTAAAGCCATTTGCACATAAAATATGTATTTTATCAAAGCAATTTTTAAAAATGTATTTTTATTAAAGATTTTCTTGGTTTACAAAGTATGTGCAATGTCCCTCTTTTCTTTTCAAGTAACATTTTTTACGGATCGGTTTCATTTGTTGAGACATTAATCAAAGTGATTGTTGAACTGAAATACAATTAAGTAGAAGAATATTAATAGTGAAATGCAATTAAGAAGAAGTATATTAATAGTGAAATAATTACTAAGCTCTAACTTAAAAGGATGTTTTATTCATAACTAACCTCATAACACAAACACATTGGCATTTGGCAATAACAAAAGCTCCTCCAGAAACACAGTTTACAAAAACTTACAATCTAGTCTCTAGAAACTTGCTATAACATGAAATAATAAGAGGTGTGGATATATGATGCAAACTACTAATAATTAGAAATAGCAGAATGTAGGCACCCTGAGAAACAGTGTCTATCCAAATGCGATTTTGGTTTTAAACGCAGTGTAAGGTAGTCTCTGTGGGAGTATACTGTATTTAATTATGGGGTATCAGAGTTTTTAGGGAGTTAACCAGGCTGGGATAGCAGGCTTGTTGGTTTTTGAATGTCTGATGTAGATTTTTTCAATTTCATTGTTCTGTATGGGACAATGACAAAAAAGATTATCGTATTGTATATCTAGAAAGGAGCAAACCAGTGATATTTTAGGGAGCAGGCTAGCAGGCGGGGCCCATGACTTACATCTAGGAACCTACACAACACAAAACACTGCTGCTGTAGGTAGGTTTTATTTAATTTGATTTTTTATCTTATATTTTGGAAATGTACATCCAGGTGTTTTTTCCCCCTTTAAATTTTTTGGGGGCCCCCAAGAGAGTGGGGCCCTAAGCTATACCTCGGGTTACAGACACTTCAGGTTGCGTTTTTTCAGGTTACAGACCGCCGAAACCTGGAAGTTCCACAATGGGTTACTTCCGGGTTTCGGCGGTCGAAGTGCTAAATCGCTCTTTGCACATGCACAGATGCGCCGCTGCAGGTTGCGAATGTGCATCCCGCACGGATCACGTTCGCAACCTGAGCGTCCACTGTAGCTTGTTTAGCTTATACGTAAATCCAGCGAATCTTTGTTCTATGTCCATTCTCTGTCGTCCTCCTCGGATGTAGATTGCCCTGGAGGCCGGCTGCGTGGAGATGAAATTTGTCACCATGGAATGGAACCGGCCGGCCAAGGAGTTTTATATCCGCCTGGGGGCTCACGACACCACCGACTCCGAAGATCTGCACTGCATGGTTTTGGATCAGGACGCCTTGCAAAGGTTGCGGCAACATGGGAAAGAGAAGATCTCTCGCTGAACTCCCTGTTAAATGGGAAGGCCAAAGAGCGCCCCCTGCTGTTATACATAACAGAGTTTATACTGTACATAAAGAGTTTATTTCACTCGCCTAACCTGGCTGGCAAAAGGGAGAGGAAGGAAAAAATTCGCAGGAGACTATACCTTACGCAGATTTCTTCCTGTGAAACATTAGAGGATTCCATAGCGAAATATAGACTATACCTTTAAATAAAAGCCTGTAGGAGTTTTGTAAGCCTATTTTTGTTTCATTGCGGTTTATTTTCAGATTTTACAAATACTTCCATTCAAATATAATCAACTTTAAACAAATATAGGATTCATTGAATCCTTGGACCTCTCTCCAAGCCTGCACGGTTTCCATTGCAAATCTTTTCCTAGGTAAAGGTAAAGGGATCCCTGACCATTAGGTCCAGTCACGGACGACTCTGGGGTTGCGGCGCTCATCTTGCTTTATTGGCCGAGGGAGCTGGCGTACAGCTTCCGGGTCATGTGGCCAGCAGGACTAAGCCGCTTCTGGGGAACCAGAGCAGCGCACGGAAACGCCGTTTACCTTCCCGCCGGAGAGGTACCTATTTATCTAATTGCACTTTGAGGTGCTTTCGAACTGCTAGGTGGGCAGGAGCAGGGACTGAGCAACGGGAGCTCACCCTGTCGCGGGGATTCGAACCGCCGACCTTCTGATCGGCAAGTCCTAGGCTCTGTGGTTTAACCCACAGCACCACCCGCCAGCTGTCCTTTTTGCCCAATGTCCTGTTCTCACAGTGGTGCTTGTGCAAAGCCCAAATAGATATCTAAATAAATAGATCCAGTAAGCAAATAAATAGTTTTTTATTCAGGGTCTGCGTTGGCATACCCACCCACGGCCCATGGCTTTCCTGACCCAGAGCCGCAGAACCACGGGAACTATGGCCATTTTGCTGCCCCCGCTGGGAACTGTCGAGAGCAATTGCAACCTTTAACGGGGATCCCTCTGTGACGCAGCCCCTTATCTCTGAGACGTTCTCCCCAGGGAAATCCGTAAAATGCTTCAGTTGGAGCCTTCAGAAGAAAAACACCCTGTGACCTTTTTAAAATTCCTGTCTGCTTTTTGGTACACGAGAACATCAGCGCCAGCTGCATCCGGCCAATGTCTGTGGCCAACCTGTCTGAAACCTGCTAGCAGGATTCGAATACAAGACCAGCACTCTGGCCGCCTGTGGTTTCCAGAAACTGGTACCCAGAAGCATTAAAGGCCAGCAAACACTAATAATTAATAATAATTTATTATTTATACCCCGCCCATCTGGCTGGGTTTCCCCAGCCACTCTGGGCGGCTTCCAACAAAACACTAAAATTCAATAACCAATTAAACATCAAACGCTTCCCTAAACAGGGCTGCCTTCAGATGTCTTCTAAAAGTTTGGTAGTTGTTTTTCTCTTTGACATCTGGTGGGAGGGAGTTCCACAGGGTGGGCGCCACCACCGAGAAGGCCCTCTGCCTGGTTCCCTGTAACTTGGCTTCTCGCAGGGAGGGAACCGCCAGAAGGCCCTCGGAGCTGGACCTCAGTGTCCGGGCAGAACAATGGGGGTGGAGACGCTCCTGCAGGTCTACTGGGCCTTTGAGGCTGTTTAGGGCTTTCAAGGTCAGCACCAACACTTTGAATTGTGCTCGGAAACGTACTGGGAGCCAGTGTAGGTCTTTCAAGACCGGTGTTATGTGGTCTTGGTGGCCGCTCCCAGTCCCCAGTCTGGCTGCCGCATTCTGGATTAGTTGCAGTTTCCAGGTCACCTTCAAAGGTAGCCCCACGTAGAGCGTGTTGCAGTAGTCCAAGCGGGAGATAACCAGAGCATGCATCACTCTGGAGAGACAGTCTGCGGGCAGGTAGGGTCTCATCCTGCGCACCAGATGGAGCTGGCAGACAGCTGCCCTGGACACAGAACTGACCTGCACCACCATTGACAGCTGTGAGTCCAAAATGACTCCCAGGCTGCGCACCTGGTCCTTCGGGGGCGCAGTTACCCCATTCAGGACCAGGGAGTCCTCCACACCCGCCCGCCTCCTGTCTCCCAAAAACAGTACTTCTGTCTTGTCAGGATTCAACCTCAGTCTGTTAGCCCCCATCCATCCTCCAACCGCCTCCAGGCACTCACACAGGACCTTTAAAGAAGGATTAGAGCAGGCATCCCCAACCTTTGGCCCTCCAGATGTTTTGGACTACAATTCCCATCATCCCTGACCACGGGTCCTGTTCGCTAGGGATCATGGGAGTTGTAGGCGAAAACATCTGGAGGGCCAAAGGTTGGGGATGCCTGGATTAGAGTAATTCATCACGGGAGCACAGTCCCGAGGCAGCAGTGCCTGCAGATACCAGTTCGAATCCTGCTGGTGGGTTTTCCTATTGTGGTTGGCCACTGCAAGAACAGGATGCTGGGCTCAATGAGCCCTTCTTGGCCTGATCCTGCGGACTCTTACATCCACAGCAACCTTTCACTTCCTTGGCCTTGCCCCAGAGGAGACCCTCTGGAGGTGGGCTTCCCGTTCATTATGGGATGGAAGGAGGAGGTGGCGGCGTTTGGTTTCCCCCACCTGCAGCCCCGAAACACCTTGGACCTTAGCGTCCGTTAGGGACAGGATCCGACGGAATCGACAAACCCGGATGACTCTCTGGGGAGCTTTCCAGACCAGCAGTTCCCATTAGCAGAATATTAGGGTGACCGCTGGCCTGTCCGGCCACCCTGCGCAGTTGGCACCCGTCTCTGCCTCGTCTTCCCGCTTCTCTTGACGTGCCCACGCTCTCCTTCCTCCCAGGGGGTAATTAAAACCCTTTTTACATAAAAACCTCCATCAGGTTTAATCTCCATCAAAGGGAAAGGTTATTAGAAAAGCGTGGAAATAACCCAGGCACGTCTCACGCTTCCTTCGCAGACCCAGAGGAGACCTGTGGGTTTCTGGAGGTGGAATGGGGTTCTGGAGGAGGGGTGGGGAACGTCAAGCCTGCAGAATCCTACAAGGGACCCCAGAGGCCATCCATCCCAGCCCCCTTGCAATGCAAGAATCTCAGCTAAAATCTCCCTGGCAGATGGACACCCGGCCTCTGCTTAAAATCCCCAAAGGAAGGAGACCGTTCCACTGTCGAATGGCTCTTACTGCCGGAAAGTTCTTCCTGATGTTTAGCTGGAATCCCCTTCCTCGTAACCTGAAGCTGTGGGTTCGAGTCCTGCCCCCTGGAGAGTTTTTGGTTTTTTATCAGAAAGGTACAAGACACAGAATTCAGGGTTGAGACTTGGGTAGAGAACATCATCTATGTTCCTCCAGATGTTCACAGGCTACAGCTGTTAACAGCCAGCATGATTGACGATTAGAGAGGATGAGAGTTGTATCTGTTCCTGAAAGACCTACATTGGCTGCTAGTACGTTTCTGAGCACAAGTCAAAGTGTTGGTGCTGACCTTGAAAACCCTAAACAGCTTCAAAGGCCCAGTAGACCTGAAGGAGCGTCTCTACCCCCATTGTTTAGCCTAGACACTGAGGTCCAGCTCCGAGGGCCTTCTGGCGGTTCTCTCCCTGCAGGAAATGAAGCCACAGGGAACCAGGCAGAGGGCCTTCTCGGTAGTGGCACCCACCCTGTGGAACTCCCTCCCACCAGATGTCAAGGAAATAAACAACTATCTGACTTTTAGAAGACAACTGAAGGCAGCCCTGTTCATGGAAGTTTTAAATGTTTGATGTTTTATCGTGTTTTTAATATTCTGTTGGGAGCCGCCCAATATATTATTATTATTATTTATCCTGGAAACCTCTAGATGCCGACCAGGTTTTTTGGGGAGGTGAGTAAGAGCTCTTCCATATTGAAGGGAGAAGGTAGATTGAGAGATGGGATTCCTGGGCCCTTAAGGAAGTGAGCGAAGTATAGAATAATGGAATTGCAGAGCGGAAGAGTTGTAAGGGATCTGCAGGGGTCATCTAGTCTAACTCACCTTCAATGCACCAACTGGAAACGAATAATTATGTCTGCCTCAAAACTTTCACAAACACAACTGAATGTGGAATCATGTCCAATTGTCTACATCATCAATGCACAGGATAGCTCAGTTGGTTAGAGTGTGGTGCGGATAACGCCAAAGTTGCAGGTTTGATCCCCGTAAAGGACAGCTGCGTATTCCTGCATCGCAGGGGGGTTGGACTGGATGATCTTCAGGGGTCCCTTCCAAGCTCTACAATTCTATGATCCCTGTGTAGAAAGGGCCATGGCCGCCGAGACAACTGGCCTTACCCACGGTTAGCAAAAGGATGAAACAGCCATGAAACAGCCAGAAAACGGGCGCTTTATTGCGAAGCATCGACGTGTTACAATATCCAAAAAAAGGGGGAGAGAGAGTTTATTTCACAAGCGGCAACAGAGAAAGAGGGAAGCTACAGGGGTCCTGATCCGGACTGAGGGTGGAGGGAGGCAAATAGGTCCTGCAAACCACTACACACCCATTAGCACAGACAGGCCCGTCGTACCCATAGAGGCTAGTGGCGCGGGACGCCAGGGCACCACTTTCTGCCGGGCGCCAGGCGAGAGTCCGGGAAACACCGAACGAGCGTGCTGAGCATAGCTGTCAACCGTCCCTTATTTGGCGGGAAACTCCCTTATCCCAGCGCCGTGTCCCGCTGCTGTCCCTTAAATTTCCTGGGTTTCATGCTCGCCTGGCTCGGGAGGGAAGCAGCGGCTCGGGGTCCTCCGCCGCGAGAGAGAGAGAGCGCATGAGCTGCCGTGTCTCCATCTCTCCCTTTTCCCCCTCAAGGGCGTATCGTAAGGAGACGGGTGGCGGCAGGCGGGCAGGCAGCCCCTCTCTTGCGAGACTTCCGCCACGCTGCCAGGGGAAGCTGGAGGCGGCAGTGGCAGCGGAGGCAGTCTCAAGGAGGAGTAAGAGGAGGGGATGGGGAGGGACGCAGAAGGGCGGCGCTTCAGCGGCCACGGTGGCACCGCAACCGCCTCATGCCGGGCTCGCGGGCGGTGTGGGCGAGAATCTCTCTCCCTCTCTCTCAGGAGAGGAAGGGCCGATGGAACTCCTTGCACCAGGACGATGGCAGCCCCGACGTGCTGCTTAGCATCCCCTCCAACCAGTGCAGCATCTTAATGTAGTGATTTCCCCCTCTGCATCCCTTTCATAACTCTATTTTTATAAATCATTTGTCCATCCATAGTTCAAATTTTTACTACAAGTTTTCTGTCCATCCTACCAATGCATGTCACTCTTTACAATAGCTTTTCAACTAAATTATAAACTTTCCCCATTCTTTATCAAAGGGGTCCTCTTCCTGGTTTCTAATTCTGCCTGTAAGCTTTGCCATCTCGACGTCGTTCATCAGTTTTGTCTGCCACTCTTCTTTGGTCGGAGTTGTAGACCCTTAGGATCATGTAGCCCAACCCCCTGCAAAACACAGTCAGTCGCAGCAAAAGCAGCCTGGCTCCATCAGTGGCGGATTTCTGTATAAGTTAAGCAAAATCCCTTATTTTGGCTGCTGATCCCTTATTTTCGAGGCTGCTGGTCCCTTATTTTCAAATCTGTAAGTTGACAGCTATGGTGCTGAGCGAGTGAGGGCGCGTACGGCGCTCCCGCTGAGCGCCGGCTTGGTTTTTTCTCTTTTAGCCTGCAGGTGCTGAATTCTGCTGGGCGCCAGAAGGCTAAAAGGGGAAAAACCGAGCCGACATTCGGCGGGAGCGGCGCATGCGCACTCGCTCGCTCAGCGCAGGCCTGCTCACTTGGCGTGTTGACTGCCATGGCCACCGTGGCACAAAGCGATCAGCTGAGGCAGGAGGCGCCGCGTCCAGACTTCACCCCTTCCCCGTCGGAGGAGCCACCCTCCAGCCGCTGCCCACCACAATCTTTGCGCCACGGCGCCAGATATGCTTAAGACAGCCCTGAGCACAGATTTGTTATCACATCGCATTGAAAGCTAACTAGGAGGGGTTGGGTTAGGGGTCCCACATAGATCTGGGGAAAGTTGAAGGCTGAAGAAGAGGAAACAGAGGCAGGCAGATTTTCAAGCGCTATTGCCCAACCTGGCACCCTCCAGACGTTGCGGACTACAAATCCCATCGTCCTGAGCCAGCTTCGCCGATTGAGTCACGGACGATGGGAGTTGCAGTCCGACGATGTCTGGGGAAGACCCCAAGGCTGAAGAACGCCGGCTTGGAGCGGCCTTCGTCAACCTCGCCCCTCCCAGGGAAAAAAAAGGACTACAAATCCTATCATCCTGGGTCGGTTTAGCCAGTCACCATGGATGATGGGAATCGTAGTCCGAAACATCGGGTGCACACGACGAGGTCACAGTAACACACGCAGCCCTGGAGGCGATGCTCTAGCAGGAGGTGAGCGTTTTCCAGTAGAAAGTCTTGCAGCCGGCTTTCCGCTCCCGGGGGGGTTGCCAGGGGGCAGGCGGGCGGGAGGAGTGGTGGGGGCCGGGGTGGTGGGCTCGCCGGAGGCCGGAGATGGCTCGCAGGACGAGGTGGTCCGAGGAGTCCTGGTTGTGTGGGAAAGGAAGCAAATTGGGGGAGATTCCCCCCCCTCAAAATAAAGAACACGCTATAAATATATACACACGCAGTCAAGAAATAAATATACACGTTATTATATAAAGAACACGTCATATGTACATACATACACCCCACTCCAATCCATGCAAGTCTGCAAATTACCCACAATGCCTGCCTGGCGGGGGGTTGGACTAGATGACCCCTGGGTCCCTTTCGACTCTACGGATCTATGATCAGCCAGGGTAAAGAGGGACATCTGCAACATTATTTGGAATCTGAAAATGGAGGCCTCTGTGGGGAGGAAGTTCCTCAGTTTAGCAGCCACCACAGAGGCATTTGTTGGAGGGCAGTGCGGTGTAGTGGTTAGAGTTTGGGGGCTAAGACCTTGGAGACCAGGGTTCGAATCCCAGCTAGAACATAAAGCTTTGTGATGACCTCGAGCCAGTCGCTCTCTCTCAGACTAACCTATCTAGCAAGATTATTGTGTGGGGATTAAATGAGAGATCCGGGCACAAGCTACCTTAAGCTCCTTGTGGGGGGAAAGGGGGATACAAATGAATAAATAAAAACGTGTTTTTTCTACTCGCGGTCCCAAGCCAGGCTACAAAATTAAATCTGTAGGTCTTCAGAGATCTAAAGTAATCTAACCCACAAAGTTTGGAAGGGAACTGAAGATCACCCAGCAATTCTCTCGCCTCCAACAGGAAAAAGTGTGTTGCTTAACTCCCCTGGAATAATTTCCATCCCAGATTTAGGACCAAAACCTCCGTTCCTCCAGGTCTGTCGATCTTCTCCCCGCCTCCCACCAGGCAAACACATACTTGTCTCCCTGAATTTGGGAGCAAAACCAGAAACCGCCCACTCCCTAAACAATATTCTCTGCTTCGCATAATTGTCTTGGGTTTTTTTAAGTTGTGGAACAGATAATGTCAAACAGGCAAGCATCCTTTACTTCTGTATCTCTCAAACATATACCCCGACTCTAGAATTCTATGGAATAAAATAAAATAATTAAAATTTAGGGAGGGGTTTCACTACCCCCTACTCCCTGCAATAATTCTTTCCAGGGATTGCGAACGAAACAGCCCAAATTGGCACGGATTATAAAATTGGTTGTTTGTTTCGGTTACAATTTTAATTCAGCTGAAGCGCATGCCCTTTCTTAAATAAAAAAATTCATTTAAAAACACACATACCCTGATTTCCCTAGAAACTTACCATCCTGCCCCCTGATATTTGGGGAAAATAAAAAATAAAATCTGCACAATTGCTCTCTACTCCTAGTTTTGAGAATCCCAACTGTAACACCCTAGTTGTCTATTTTGGGGGTTTACAACTAGGAAGACCTCCCCCCTAGTTTCTCCCCAAACCTTACCTGGCTCTCAGGGGGTAGGAATTTCGGGGGGCTGGCATGGAGGGTTGCCCTGGGCATCATGCAAACAGCTAGCAGGAACAGACACAGCTGGGGAAAAGACCTCATGGTTGCAGCTGTGGGCAAGCAGGCACCTTGAGTGGGCAGCAGGTGCCAGGAACACCCCTTTTATAAATCTCTTCCCCCTCCCCTGCAAGGAGGCAGCCAATGGAATCGCAGGGGGAGGCTGGCAGCAGCCAATGGGCAGGAGGGCAGGAGTCGGAAACAGACGCATTCCATTTCCAAGATAAGTTCTTCTTGATGCTCATCTGGAATCCAATCTCTCTTGCAGTTTGAATATCCATTGGTGGTTTGGGTCCAGCGGAAAACACGCTCGGTCCATCTTCCACGGGGCAGCCCATGAGATATTTGAAGATGGCTAGGGATGTGGGTGGCGCTGTGGTGTAAACCACTGAGCCTAGGGATTGCCTGTCAGAAGGTCGGCAGTTCGAATCCCCGTGACGGGGTGAGCTCCCGTTGCTCGGTCCCTGCTCCTGCCAACCTAGCAGTTCGAAAGCACGTCAAGTGCAAGTAGATAAATAGGTACCGCTCCGGCGGGAAGGTAAACGGCGTTTCCGTGCGCTGCTCTGGTTTCGCAGAAGCGGCTTAGTCATGCTGGCCACATGACCCGGAAGCTGTACGCCGGCTCCCTCGGCCAATAAAGCGAGATGAGCACCGCAACCCCAGAGTCGGCCACGACTGGACCTAATGGTCAGGGGTCCCTTCACCCTTATCCTATTATTATTATCATCAGTGCTTTTTTCTGTAAAAAAAATGTTTAGGAGTGCAGTGGTACCTCAGGTTACAGACGCTTCAGGTTACAGACTCCGCTAACCCAGAAATAGTACCTTGGGTTAAGAACTTTGCTTCAGGATGAGAACAGAAATCGTGCTCCGGCAGCAGCAGGAGGCCCCATTAGCTAAAGCGGTGCTTCAGGTTAAGAACAGTTTCAGGTTAAGAACAGACCTCCGGAACGAATTAAGTACTTAACCCGAGGTACCACTGTACTCTCATTTTGACTCAAGAAAATCACCGTTTTGTAGTTCAAATCAGGAAAAATAAATACAAAGATTCACAAAATGTTTAGGGGTATGTGTACCTTGGCATCCCCCCAGAAAAAAGCACTTATTATTATTATTATTATTATTATTATTATTATTAAGCGTATACTGCCCTTTACCCATGGATCTTAGGGCAGTTCACATCTCTTCCTCCGGCAAAACATACCTAACTCCCTCCACCGTTCCCTCCTAAGGTTTGGTTTCCAGACCCTTGATCGTCCTCGTCTGCACACCTTCCACTTTGTCGACACCCTCCTGAAAGTGGGGTTCCCAGAACAGGACACAGGGCTCCTGGCAGGGTTTGATCCGAGGCAGAAAAGAGCAGTACAGTGCTACCTCGGGTTACATACGCTTCAGGTTACATACGCTTCAGGTTACAGACTCCGCTAACCCAGAAATAGTACCTCGGGTTAAGAACTTTGCTTCAGGATAAGAACAGAAATCGTGCTCCGGCGGCGCGGCAGCAGCAGGAGGCCCCATTAGCTAAAGTGGTGCTTCAGGTTAAGAACAGTTTCAGGTTAAGAACAGACCTCCGGAACGAATTAAGTACTTAACCTGAGGTACCACTGTACTGTGGCTTCCCTTGCTCTGGACACTAGATTTCTGTCGACACAGACTGGAATCGACTTTCCTCGCACCGTTCTTTCGATACCGAAGCACGTTGGGCTTTTTCTGTGTTCCCGAGTGCTTAGCTGTGAAGCTATACTTCTCCATAGTGACCCCAGGAGCCTATTCTCAGTGGCCGCCATGTCTCCTCGAACGACGATTGGCTCCAATCATCCCAAAGGTGAGAAGATGTAGATATAATTTATTATTTATAGTCCACCCATCTGGCTGGGTTTCCCCAGCCACTCTGGCCGGCTTCCAACCAAATATTAAAATACAATAGTCTATTAAACATAAAAAGCTTCCCTAAACAGGGCTGCCTTCAGATGTCTTCTAAAAGTCTGGCAGTTGTTTTTCTCTTTGACATCTGGTGGGAGGGCGTTCCACAGGGCGGGTGCCACCACCGAGAAGGCCCTCTGCCTGGTTCCCTGTAACTTGGCTTCTTGCAGCGAGGGAACCGCCAGAAGGCCCTCGGAGCTGGACCTCAGTGTCCGGGCAGAACGATGGGGGTGGAGACGCTCCTTCAGGTATCCTGGACCGAGGCCGTTTAGGGCTTTAAAGGTCAGCACCAACGCTTTGAATTGTGCTCGGAAACATACTGGGAGCCAATGTAGGTCTTTCAAGACCAGTGTTATGTGGTCTCAGCAGCCGCTCCCAGTCACCAGTCTAGCTGCCGCATGCTGGATTAGTTGTAGTTTCCGGGTCACCTTCAAAGGGAGCCCCACGTAGAGCGCATGGCAGTAGTCCAAGCAAGAGATAACTAGAGCATGCACCACTCTGGCCAGACAGTCTGCGGGCAGGGAGGGTCTCATCCTGTGTACCAGATGGAGCTGATAAACAGCTGCCCTGGACATAAGATTGACTTCCTTCTCAAGGGCTAAAAAAAACTCAACTTTCATGCCAATTGAGTGGCTCTGGGGTGCGGGAGGTGGGAACCCTGCTGCAGATATACTGGTCTCTGACACCCCCATATCCGGACCTCAACACCTCTGCTTGCAGTATATCCCACCTCCACTGTCCAGGCCCAGCTGAATCACCACGTCTGTCCCAACCTGATGGGAATAATTTACCTGCGAGATCACAGCGAGAGCTGCCACAGATCCGAAATTTGCAAAAGATCGGTCCTTTACACTTTGGAACTCCCTGCTTATTGATATCAGGCAAGAAACTTTGCCGTGCTCTTTTCAGTGCTTCACAAACGATTCTCGTTTAGACACGGCTACCCAAGGGATGCGGAACGCCAATGTGTTTTAATCCGGATTCCAGTTTGCTGCCGATTTCATCACTTGAATGTTTTAAAGAGTTGTTTCGACTGATCATTTCATTCACTCGGTAAACCCAAAGTAGCCACCCAGTCAGATGGGCGGGGTACAAATAATAAAATTATCAAAATTATTTTTATCTCGTAGTTTTCCAACACAATCAAGTGGAGTAATATATATTTTTATGAAATAAGTAAATAATCTGCTGGCCGATGCAATCCGAGCCCAGGTAACAGCTCTCCCGGTCCCCTGGGTTGGGTTCGGGGGTCAATTCAGCAAAAGCCCCCCCCCCCAAATTAGCAGAAACAAGGTGAAGTTTGACAGATCTTTAATTAAATTCTGACACATAACGCACATGAACACAATGCCCCACGCCCTGGGGGAAGACGCTTGTGGGGTGGGGAGTTTAATGTATTTTTTAAAAATACCCATCCTTTAAAAAAACACTCACACACGGAGAAGGAACTTGAGGAATTATTAAAAAAAATAAAACAAATAAAACCAAGAGCTAGGGATATAGACCCAGATGTTGATATCCCATTTCCCTCAGTTAGTGGCAATGGTGGAGGAGCGAGGAAGGGTATTTTAGTAAAATTCACCCTTTTTCTAAGCTGCTGCTGCTGCCCTCCAGTGTTCTGGATTCCAATCCAACCAACCCCCAGCCAGCACAGCTGACTGGAGGCTGATGGGAGTTGTAGGCCAAAGCATTTGGACGGCACCTGCTTGGTTAAGGCTGCTGTAACTGACCGGGGGGGGGGGGAGAGGGGAGATGGCACATAGCTAAGACCAGCTTATAGGTTTGGGGGAGCCCTCAAGGCAGGGAAATGGTGGGGCTGGTGGTGGAGAGAAGACAGAGGCGTGCAGAGAGAAGACAGAGATATGCAGAGCGAAGACAGTTATATACATAGCGAAGACAGACACAATCCGCTTCCGCTTTGAGAAATGCAGGGTTGATGTTCGAAGCCGCCAACCCGCAGAGGAGAATTGGGGTGGGGGTAGGGGGGGAAGGAGGGAGGGAGGCAGCCAGGGCAGGACAGGAAAGTGGGGCAGCAGGGAGAAAAAGTTAGGGAGAGTTAGGGTCTTGAGATGCACTGCTGCTGCCCCCGAGACACACAGCAGGGTTTCTATGGCCAAAGGAAAAGAGGGCTGAAATGAACGTCAAGAAATTCCTAGAACAGAAGGGTTGGAAAGGCCCCAACGGGTTGTCTATCGCAACCGCCTGCAACTCCATGATAAAGGCAGCAGGAAGTGCGGTGCAAAATGTGAGCGGTTGAGGAGGCGGAAACCAATAGAGAAAACCAACAAGGAGATGGGGGGGAGGCAGAAGCCATCAGCAGTCCGTGGTGATCTTGGAGGAGAGCTCCTGGATCCGCCGAGTGCTGCAGCTCTTGCAAAGGATGTGGCCGTCCAGCGGGTAGCAGCCTCGGCCTTCGCCCTCGGAGGAGAGGAGCAGCCCACACTCCTGGCAGGGGAGAGAGAAGAGAATTGGTGGCTGGTATCCGTCCGTCTCGAGAGACAACGGAGTGCGCCTCCAGGGGGAAAGTTAAACCTTGCAGGCGCAAGTGTGTCTGGGGGTCCTGGGCTGCCCAGATGACCAGACCCCCCTCTCGGCCTCGCAGGTGTGGCCCAAAGGAAAGCATGGGTTTGAGACCCATCAGCTCCTCTCACCTGGTTTAGCCGGCCAGTCAAAGCCGTTTCCCAGTATTGTGGCCGCCATCGCACGCTGAAGCTTCTAGAAGCCCCAGGTGAGTGTGGAGTGCAGGTGGGGACCAAAAGGGAACAAACTACCCAAGAAGGAACACAGGTGTCCCCCAACCAGAGGTCCTCCTCCTCCTCCTCTCCAACAGAGCATAATGTTAACCTGCGGAACACCCTCCCACAAGAGACAGGGATGGCCACTAACCTGGATGGCCTCAGAAGAGGACTGGCAAAGAGACCGGGAGCACGGCCAAAGTGGTCTCACCTCGCATTTGTAGCAGCCTATGTGAAAACTGCGGTCCAGGGCGACGATTCGCACGGTCTCCTCCTTTCCAGGCTCTGGCATGATGGCATTACCACAAACTGAGCACCGGGGGGCAAACTTCCTGCCGGGGGGTGGAGACAAGGATTAAGGCATTTAGAAGCGAATTTTCTCCCGCTTTTAGCTCAGATCTGCTAGAGGAGGGAGAATATCCGCACGTCGTCAAACCTGCGGAACTCCCTGCCACAGGAGATGCCCACAACGTGGATGGGGTTAAAGGAGGATGAGACAAACTCCTGGAAGATAGGGCAATTTGTAGGTTTTAAAAGCTGTATTTCAAATGGATGTAAAACTTTGGACTTTAGGGAGAATTGTGGGCGAATCAGAGTTACCATCTGCTCCGAACCCTAAAGCATGCTGGGAGGAGAGCGCCACAGGTGCCCACGAACCCCCCTCCCCATCCAAGAAAGTTCCATTTAGCAAAAATGGGGGGGGGGGGAGAGATTTACCGGTGGAAGTCTTCGATGCAGTGAATTTGGCTGGTGGCATCAACCGTGAACGGGACGCCATCAAGGCAGCGATGGCAAACCACACAGGTGAAGCACTGTGGGTGGTAGGCTTTCCCCATCGCTCGCAGGATCCGGTCCATGATGGGTTTGGAGCACATAGAACATTTTTCCAGGGTTACCTGGCGAGAGGAGGGAAAGAGGGTTTCAACCTACAGAATGTGCAGAATAATAACAATAATAATAACAACAACAATAATAATTTATTATTTATACCCTGCCCATCTGGGGTATAGCCCCAGCCACTCCAACAAAGTATTAAAATATAGCGGTCTGTTAAACATTAAAAGCTTCCCTAAACAGGGCTGCCTTCAGATGTCTTCTAAAAGTCAGATAGCTGTTTATTTCCTGGACATCTGGTGGGAGGGTGTTCCACAGGGCGGGCGCCACCACCGAGAAGGCCCTGTGCCTGGTTCCCTGTAACTTGGCTTCTCGCAGGGAGGGAACCGCCAGAAGGCCCTCAGAGCTGGACCTCAGTGTCCGGGCTGAACGATGGGGGTGGAGACGCTCCTTCAGGGTCTACTGGGCCTTTGAGGCCGTTTAGGGCTTTCAAGGTCAGCACCAACACTTTGAATTGTGCTCGGAAACGTACTGGGAGCCAATGTAGGTCTTTCAAGACCAGTGTTATATGGTCCCGGTGGCCGCTCCCAGTCACCAGTCTAGCTGCCGCATTCTGGATTAGTTGTAGTTTCCGGGTCACCTTCAAAGGTAGCCCCACGTAGAGCACATTGCAGTAGTCCAAGCGGGAGATAACCAGAGCATGCGCCACTCTGGCGAGACAGTCTGCGGGCAGGGAGGGTCTCATCCTGCGTACCAGATGGAGCTGGTAAATAGGTGCCCTGGACACAAAACTGACTTGCGCCTCCGTGGACAGATAACTAGAGCATGCATCACTCTGCATTAGGCTGCACCCCCTTGCACCCCCCCACCTGCCAGGACCCCCTAACCCCCCCACTCACGATGTAGCAGGATTCACAGAAGGAGCGCCGGTCGATGGCGTAGAACGGCTGCCCGCGCAGGCGGCATCGGCAGGTGGCGCAGGTGAAGCACTCCACGTGGAAGACCTGGTCCATGGCCACGCAGCCCGTCCCGTCGCCAACCACGTTCTCCCCGCAGCGGGCGCAGCGGCCTGTCAGGGAGGAAGGAGGCGTTCGGAGGCCTTTTCCAGGGTCCCCGCTCCCCCAAAATGTCCCTGCCAGCAACTCTCTACAACCCAGCCTGACTTTGGGCAAGGGAAGCGTTCCCCAGGTCCCGTCTGCAGATAGACTGCCCCTCAGCATGGAGGCTCCACCAGCAGCCAAAACTGACACAGCTGCCGACTGGACCGCCCCCCTCCACTCTCGGCCTCTGCGGACCCCCGTTTTGAAGCCATGCCACCGAGCGGCTGTCATCTCTCGGGGTGCCAAACTCGGCCGCAGGCTTAAGAAAACCTCACCGAAATACTCCCCCGACGGAGGGTTGTTCATGTCGTACACCAGCTTCTTCGTCAGCCGGTCCAGCTCCTCTTCCGGGCGGCTGGGGGGAACCTGGTGGGTCGAGATGGAGGGCAGAGAGAAAGAACCATAAGCCCCCTCCCTTCTCAAGCCATCCATAGCCCTCTCCTCCTCCGTGAATCTGCCTAATCCTCTTTTCAAGCTATCCAGGTTGGTGCCCATTCCTGTGGCAGGGAGTTCCGCCGTCTAACTATGCCCAGCATGAAGAAGGACTGTCTTCTATCTGCCCCAACTCTCCCAACATCCAGCTTTGCTGGTTGCCCACCAGTCCTAGAGCTACGAGAAAGAAGGAGGGAACTTTCCCGCTTCCTCCAGGGTACGGTCACTTTTATAAACCTCTTAACGTGTCTCTCCTTACATGCCTTTGGTCCAAACTAAAAAAAAAACGCTGCAGTCCTTTCTTCCCAGGGGAGTTGATCCCTCTGCTTGATCCTCCTCGCTCTGCCCTTTGCAGAACCTTTCCCAGCTCTACAGTACTGCAGAATCATAGAGTGAGAAGGGGTCCCCCAAAGGTCATCCAGCCCAACCCGCCTGCAACGCGGGAATCGCAGGTAAAGAATCGCTAACGGGGGTCTATCCAGCCTCTGATGGAGAACCTCCAATGAAGATAGACAGATAGATAATGATTATTATTGATTAAATCTGTATACTGCCCTTCACCCAAAGAAACCCAGGGCAGTTCAGACATGGACAGATAATAATAGTAATAAAAAATCATTATTAATTACATTTGTATGCTGCCCTTCATGCAAAGAATCCCAGGGTTGTTCAAATGCAGACTGATCATTTATTATTATTATTATTATTAATATTAATTATTTTTGTTATTAATTTGTATACTGCCCTCCATCCAAAGATCCCCAAGGCAGTTCAGATATAGACAGATAATAATTATTGATTAAATCTGTATACTGCCTTTCACCCAAAGAACCCTATGGCAGTTCAGTCATAGACAGATTATTATTATTATTATTATTATTATTATTATTATTATTCTATACTGTCCTTTATCCAAAGACCCTCCAGGGCAGTTCAGATACAGACAGGTAGATAATGATTGTTTATTAAATTTGCCTGCCCCACCTTCCTCTGAAGTTCCCCAGGGCGGTTCTGAAAGGGAATCTTCTTGTTCCTCTAACCGTGGACCACAGAAACATTCCCGCCCTCTGCAATACCCCCTCTCTCCTCTTGACGGGAAAACAAAATAAAACCTGCCGGAATCTCTTGTGACTCGAACGCAGGACCCCCCATACAAATGCCCCTTGCCCACCTCCCCCCAGGGCTCTCCTCTTACCTGGTGCTGAAACCTCAGTCCTCCACCCGCTGCTGGCATCTGCGAAGCCACCGCCATCTCCTCCTTGCCCGGTTTCGCCAACCCGGGGTGGTACTGCCCCACCGGCGCCCCGACCTTGCCAGGCCCCGGGTAGAACTCCCCTTCGGCCATCCGACGGCCGTACGACGGCGGCTCCGGGTACCAGGGCTCGGCGTCGTGGCCCCGGGGCCGGCTGCCCACCTCCGAGGCGTACTGAGGGGGCGGTTTCGCCCGGTAGCCCAGCCGGGGGGATGGCGGTCCGTACGCCTGCTCTGCCCGGCGCTGGGGCTGGTTGTACCCGGCGACCGGCTGCGCCACCTTGACCTGGACGTTGAAGGGCGGGCCGGCGGACGAGGAAGCCGTGGCGTACGAGGCGGGCATGGGCTGAGGGTACGGTTTGGCGGCCGCGCCCGGCCGGTGGTAGCCGGCGGCATATGGGTCCCCGGAGACGGCGGCACCGACGTACGGGGCAGGGGCCGGCTGCCCGCCGTAAGGGGCGCTCTTGGCGTAGGCGTCGAAGCCCGGAGGCTTGGCGGGGGTGGAGAAGGTTCCGGAAGGGCCCGGTTTGTAGGCAGAGGCGGGCTTGGCGATGCCAGCCTGAGGGAGGCTGTGGGAGAAGGGGGCAGGCTCCAAATTCTGTGGGGGAAAGAAGGGACACGGCTCAGGGACCGGCACAAAACTGGCAAACGATACGAGCGAGGGGTGTGCCATCGCAAAATAAGTGTTGAAACCTCCATCGTATCGCTGCCTTCTAATTTTTTTTTAAGGGAAAAAATGCTTTTTAGCATTTATTAAATTCACTCTGTAAAAAATCTGACACGTATAAAACCAGTGAGAGATAAGGAATGGAAAATGACCCCACTGAAAGAAACTTTACAGTACAAATTTAAATCCATACAATTTAAATTGGTTTAATCTTAATCCAATGAGACTGAAGACGAGAGACTTGAGGTCCTGGACAAGTAAAACACGCTTAGACCTTCTGGATCCTTGGACTGATTTACATCAATAAGAGAACCAATTTTTGATGTGGCAAAAGAGATGTGTTCATCACCAATTTCAATTTCAAGCTCCCATCGGCCAACTCTGTCAGGAGGCGGCCATAAGGCATCACCTTCTTTCGTGATTTCACTGTCATCGATTATCCTCTTTAGCTCTTTCATCACACTTTTGTGTACATAGGCTTCTTTTCTGATCATGACATCATTTTTATAATTGCTGTTGTTTGCATATCTCAGTTTCCCGTCAGGGCGCCACTCGAACTCGAGGCCGAACTTCCCCTTGTGCCCAACGTAATAACACAGATAGAAGTCGCTCGCCATGGCCGCATATGCCCCACTGGCCCGCCGAGACACCCGCTGCCTCTATTATATTTTTTACCCTCATGCCCCTGAATCTCGACAACGACAGCCTTATGAGGTCCTGTCAAATTCCATGGCGGAGTCGAGATCCGAACCCGGCTCTCTATCAGCTGCACGGTTTCTGCTTTAAAAAAAAATACTTTGGGCGAAATTGGTAGTGGTGACAAGTCCTTGAACTTGTTACAAGTCTTCCGACGCCGGTAGCCGTGCTACAGGTAAACCCGGCTCTGAATCTCAGGGTTGCGAGTTCGAGACCCACGTTGGGCAAAAGATTCCCACCTCGCAGGGGGCTGGACTGGATGACCCTCGTGGTTCCCTGCCAACCCTACAATTCTAGGAGGGTGGGTAGGCACAGGGGGTAGGTATCGCCTCTGACCACCCCCCCCCCCCAATTCCCGGCCGGGGTCTCTCACCTGCCTCTCTCCACGGCGCTGCCGGGCGCTCTCCAAATCGGCCAGCATGCTGGTGAGGGAGTCTATCTGGACGTCGATGCTGGAGGGGCGGGGAGGACCTTGCTCAAGAGGCGTCCCCTGTTGGCAGAAAGAGAAGGGTGGGTAAGAGGTGGGTGGGCCGCCTCTTCTGGAAAAATCCGGGGCTTCAGAGGTAGGGTGGTCTCTTGGCGCCGATCAGCCCATGGGCGGTGAGACATACCATTCTGAAGCCTGGGAGACCCCCCCTAACCCCCCCCCCAAAAATCCCACCTACTGTCGGTTTAATAATAATAATAATAGTAATAGTATTTTATTTATATAATAATAATAATAATAGTAATAGTATTTTATTTATATAATAATAATAGTAATAGTATTTTATTTATATCCCGCCCTCCCCAGCGGAAGCCGGGCTCAGAGCGGCTAACAACAGTAAAAGTAACATAGTTTACATAAAATCACATTCTAAAATCAATTCATTATAGAATCAATTCAGAATCAAATTCATGGCAACCATTGGGTTAGATTATGAGGATTACAGAAGGAGAGAGGGGGTCAGACTGTGCCTTGGCCAAAGGCCAGGTGGAAGAGCTTCGTGTTGCAGGCCCTGCGGAAAGATGTCAAGTCCCGCAGGGCCCTAGTCTCTTGGGACAGAGCGTTCCACCAAGTCGGGGCCAGTACTGAAAAGGCCCTGGTCCTAGCTGAGACCAATCTAACCACCTTGCGACCTGCGACCTCCAAGGTGTTGTCATTTGTGGACCTTAACGTCCTCCGTGGGGCATACCAGTAGAGGCAGTCCTGTAGGTACGAGGGTCCTAGGCCGTATAGGGCTTTAAAGGTTAAAACCAGGACCTTAAACCTGACCCTGTACTCCACCGGGAGCCAGTGCAGGTGGTATAGCACCGGGTGAATGTGATCTCGCAGCGAGGACCCCGTAAGCAGTCACGCCGCGGCATTCTGCACCTGATGGAGTTTCTGGGTCAGTCTCAAGGGCAGCCCCACATAGAGCGAGTTACAATAATCCAGTCTGGAGGTGACCGTCGCGTGGATCACAGTGGCTAGGTCAGGGTGAGAAAGGTAAGGAGCCAACTGCTTAATATGGCGGAGATGGAAAAATGCCACCTTTGTTATAGCTGCAAGCTGCGCCTACATGGAAAGGGAGGCATCAAAGATTACACCCAAACTCTTAATGGATGGCGCTGGCACTAATTGCGCCCCCGCAAGAGATGGGAGCATAGCTGTCAACTTACAGATTTGAAAATAAGGGACCAGCAGCCTCGAAAATATGGGATAAGCAGCCAAAATAAGCGATTTTCCGGGCACAGGTATGTTCAGCTTCTGAGCCAAAGGCAGAAAGCCCAGCCAGCAGCCAAACGAAGCCTCAAGCGGTGGTTCCCACAGCGCAGCAACCCAGCAAAGGGGATGCAGCAAGGAAAACCACCGTCCCCTCTCCGCTGGGAAGCGCTGAGCAAAGGCGAGTCCCCAGGCAAGGCGGCCGATTTGATTGGCACAAGGCATGCAAGCTCCACCCCCCAGTCGTTCTCAGACTCCTTATTGGGTGAGCAACGCAGCCAAGCAACACAGCTGGAGCCTCCCTCCTCCCTGGCCGGCAGGAGGGAGGGAGGGAGAGGAGCTGCTTCCTTTGAAACCCGGGAAATTTAAGGGACATCATCAGTAAGGGACAGCAGCGGGACACGGCGCTGGGATAAGGGACTGTCCCGCCAAATAAGGGACGGCTGACAGCTATGGATGGGATTTGCCCCCCCCCCCCCATCCTATATCGTCCCGACCCAACCAAGAATCTTTTAAACCAAGGATGGTGAACGTATGCTGGACTCTCACCTGAGGGTAGCCAGGGGTTAAACACCTTTCTCCCTTTCTGTGAGGCAGAAACGGCGGCCAAGTAAAAAAAAAATAATACTGTATTTTTCCGCTTATAAGACTATATTTTCCCGCAATTTTTTAAAGTTTAAAATTGCGGGGTCGTCTTATACACGGAATGCTGCAATTCTTTATTTCTTAATTTGGGGCTCAAAAAATAGGGGTCGTCTTATACGTGGGGGTGGAAAAATAGGGTAATTTTATAAGTCGTGTGTCCTTGTTTCTCAGTTTGATCCTTTACCCGGTTTTGTATGTTTTGTGGTATTTTATGCACCGCGACTTATTTTTACTGATTGTAGCTTAGTAATTTTTATTGTAATGGATGAGTGTAAACTGTTTAACTATTATTTGCTGATATTTCACTTTAAGGTTTACTGTTATATTCTAGTGGATTGTTGAATATTTGATATCCGTTGTTTATTTTAAACAACTATCCGACTTTTAGATGACTTCTGAAGGCAGCCCTGTTTAGGGAAGTTTTGAATGTTTGATGTTTTATCGTGTTTTTAATATTCTGTTGGGAGCCACACAGAGTGGCTGGGGGAACCCAGCCAGATGGGCAGGGTATAAATAATAAATTATTATTAATAATAATATTATTAACGTTATTGTGACTTTTTTGTATGGGGTGTGTGATCTTTATCACACATTATGTGTGTGATTTTTGCTGTCTATTTTGCTGTTTCTACAGCTTGCAAACCACTTTGCGTAGAGTAATATAGAAAGGCAATATACAAATTGAAATGAAATTAAAACACCCATCTATTTAAAAGCAGCCCTTGCCAGACTTGTTAGATTGATCACACTGCTTGGTTTTGCTATTTATTGATATTTAACTGAACGTTTCATTAGTAGTTTCTCTAGTTTCTCGCCAACGTGTTCCTTCGTTGTTTTGGGTTCCTTTCCCCCCAATTATCTTACTTGCGTTTTATGTAAAGTGCTTGGGGTTTTTTTGTATAGATATACAGCTATTATTCCTGCACAGTTTCTGTGCACTCCGCAAGCAGATTCCACAGCGACGGCTGACACACCTTTACCTGCCGCTCACCTGACAGCAGGGCTGGGGAATATGGGTTAAACAGACTCCGTTGTCGTGGGGCATTTATTTATCTATAAAACTGTTTATGTACTGCCACATCCTAATGATATATACTTCAAAGCAGCTAGTGGCAATAAAAGAATAAAGCCATGCGATAAAAACCATAAAATAAAAACCCCAGCCGCCCAGAGTGGCTGGGGAAACCCACCCAGATGGCGGGGTATAAATAATAAATTATTATTATTAGTAGTAGTAGTAGTATTATGGGTTTAAAACACACATCAGTTAAGCCTTGCGGGAGGACGTGTTCCTAAACGCCTGCACAGGCCTGGAGGAATAGAAGCGTTTTCAGCCGGCGTTTAAAAGAAGGCGCCCACTGAATCTCCAGTGGCAGAGAGTCCCACAGGACACAATGACACAAAGGGCTTGGGTTATCGTTGTTGTCAAATGAGCCTCGCCAACTCAGAGGATGACCGACAACCCTCCCTGCAGATGATGGCAGGGACCGAGATGGGATGTAAGGGAGCAGGCGAAATAAGAGCTTTAACAGAGTGCATCCTCTGTGCCAGAGCTGCACCGTGTGGATTTCTGCCTGGCGCACAAAAATCGGTCAAGGGACTCAGGCGTGCTGGCCTCTTTGCGGTACAGTGGTACCTTGGTTCTCAAACGCCTTGGTGGTTCTCAAACACTGAAAACACTGAAGTAAGTGTTCTGGTTTTTGAACATTTTTCGGAAGCCGAACGTCCAATGCGGCTGTCAGCTATTGTTTCCAGGACGCCTGCACCAATCAGAAGCTGCGCCTTGGTTTTCAAACATTTCAGAAGTCAAACAGACTTCCGGAACGGATTAAGTTTGGCGCTATTGCTTTTGCTATTTATTTTGTGTTTTTGAGGCTTTTTCGATTAATTTGGGGTTTTTTGTGACTGTGTGGAACCCAGTTCAGCTAGTGATTGACTGACTGACACTTGCCCATGCGCAAATAACACTTGTGCATGCGCGCAAGCTATTTCCGGTGCTCCTCTGACCCGGAAGTGGGCAGACGCGCAGCGCAGCGCCGGTAAGAGCGGGCGGCGGCAGCGGGCGTCGCAGCGGGCCGGATAAACAAGTCCCTAGGGCCTTATCCGGCCCGCGGCCCTTAGTTTGGGGACCCCTGATCTAGAGCCAAGCACCAAAGAAATTATAACAATGACTGTCAGGCTGGTCCTCAGATCTCACGAGAAATCTGATCCTAGTGCAATGGGGTTTGGGGAATTTGCGAATCCCAAAACCTGCTGTTACCGCGCAAACCCACCTGCAAGCCCAGCTTACCTGCAAGGGGTACCCAGGAGGAGAGGCGCTGCCCCAGGAACCCCCAGATCCTCTCTCGCCTGCGGAAGAATAATGATGTTCACCGGTGGGGTCGTGAACATGGGGCGGAGGGCCTGGAGAAAAAAGATTTTGGGAGCGGGGAGGCGGGCGGAGGGAAGAAACCAAGAGGGAGGTTTATTATTTTCCACCTATTAAATAAAACTTACACACCCCTTGGGATGCGGGTGACGCTGTGGTCTAAACCAGACAGCCTAGGACTGGCTGATCAGAAGTTCGGCGGTTCAAATCCCTGCGACGGGGTGAGCTCCCATTGTTCGGTCCCTGCTCCTGCCAACCTAGCAGTTTGAAAGCACGTCAAAGTGCAAGTAGATAAATAGGCACCGCTCCGGCGGGAAGGTAAACGGCGTTTCCGTGCGCTGCTCTGGTTCGCCAGAAGCGGCTTAGTCCTGCTGGCCACATGACCCAGAAGCTGGACGCCGGCTCCCTCGGCCAGTAAAGCGAGATGAGCGCCGCAACCCCAGAGTCGGTCACGACTGGACCTAATGGTCAGGGGTCCCTTTACCTTTACCTTACACACCCCTTGACTACATAAGAGAAGAAAACACCTCAAAGAGGTTTCAGAAAATACACAATTTATTATCATACAAATACACAAATTATTATTTTTCATCTATTAAATAAAACTTACGCACCCCTTGACCGCATAAGAGAAGCAACGCCTAAAAGAGGTTTCGGAAAATACACGATTTTATTATTACACAAAATATTATTTTTCACCTATTAAATAAAACTTTACATGCCCCTCGCCTGCATTAGAGAAGGAACGCCTCAAAGAGGTTTAGGAAAAGATTTGCAATTTGCAACGACGGTTTAAAAACATGCAAAAAAAGGCCCAGAAAGTTGAAGATTCACAAGCGTTTGGGTCGGCTTCCCCGAACGTGTTTTTTTAGCAGGTGCCAGAAGGAAAACAACGGAGGCAACTGCTTGTTATCAAGAGGCAGAGAGTTCCGAAGATTCAGTAGGAATAAGAATTTTTCCAGCCTCCGGCCAGTTAGGATCTGCTTGAAGCAGATTTTTTCTAAACATTTTTAGGTGGGCTTCCCCAAGTCCCCCCATCTGATTTTCATTTTACCTCATCTTTAGCAGATTACATATATCATAATTTCTAACCATTTTTTAAAAAAAATCCCACTTACTTCAACCATTAAAATCTTCGCATTTTATCACTTACAAATAATACTATTTTAAAATGCACTAACTTCTACTTCTAACCCTACAGCCTATACCCACTCCCAAAGCTATTCTAAGATTTAAATATGGTAATCCTGGAATTGTTGTTAGGGACACCCCAAAGGTCATCCATCCCAACCCGCAGCCATGCAAAGAATTCCTTGGCGTTCTCCGCCGCCACCTTACCTGGTACGGGGGGTAGGTACTGCGTTGGCACGCTCATCGTCCCGTTGGCCTCCTGAGACCCATAGGTGGGTTGGGGGGCAGCAGGCGAAGAAGCAAAACTCTTCTGGGGCTTGAAGGCGGCCGGACCAGAAACTGTGACCCCAGCCTGTCCCGGGACCCCCACCTGTTTTGGGGGAAGCCAGGTGGGGCCAGACATCACGTGGGGGGCTAGGAATGAACGAAGAGAGATAATTTTGTATTTTATTTTTAAAAGAGCAAGAAATCTGGGTTTTGGAAGTTGCCGCAGAGAGCTTTTTCTTTTCTCGTTTTTTAAATTTAGTTTTAAATACAGTGGTAAGGTAAAGGTAAAGGGACCCCTGACCATTAGGTCCAGTCGTGACCGACTCTGGGGTTGCGGCGCTCATCTCACTTTATTGGCTGAGGGAGCTGGCATACAGCTTCCGGGTCATGTGGCCAGCAGGACTAAGCCGCTTCTGGCGAACCAGAGCAGCGCATGGAAACGCCATTTACCGTCCCGCCAGAGCGGTACCTATTTATCTACTTGCACTTTGACGTGCTTTCGAACTGCTAGGTTGGCAGGAGCAGGGACCGAGCAACGGGAGCTCACCCCGTCGCGTGGATTCGAACCGGCCAATAAAGCGAGATGAGCGCCGCAACCCCAGAGTTGGCCACGACTGGACCTACTGGTCAGGGGTCCGTTTACCTTTTACCTATCCCACCTTTTTCTCCAAGGTGGGGCCAGTGCTTTTTCTTTCTTTCTAAAAAAAGATATAGGGGTACTCTCATTTTGACTCAAGAAAACCACCATTTTATAGTTCAAACCGGGGGAAATAAAGCACATGGACAAAAGTACAAAGATTCGCAACATGTTTAGGGGTGTGGCTACCACCCAGGAAAAAAGCACTGTGTGGAACTCGTGGTCTTCCTCACCAATTCTCTACAACAACCTGCGAGGCGGAATTTCAACACTCATTTCAGAGTAGCGAGTGGGTCATATATGCACCCCTCATCAGCATCATTGACCAGTTTTGGGGATTTTAGTTTAGTCACTACAGATGCACCTTGAAGCTAGGAAACTGACTACCGTATTTTTCGCTCTATAGGACGCACCTTGTTTTAGAGGGGGAGAACAAGAAAAAAAAAATCTCCCCCTCTCTGCCCAGTGCCCCTTCAGCGAAGCGGCAGGAGGCACTGCGCAGAGAGGGGGAGAATTATTTTTTTCTTGTTCTCCCCCTCTAAAACAAGGTGCCGTTCAAGGTGTGTTCAGTCCATAGCTGTCAACCGTCCCTTATTTGGCGGGAAAGTCCCTTATCCCAGCGCCTTGTCCCGCTGCTGTCCCTTATTGATGATGTCCCTTAAATTTCCCGGGTTTCAAAGGAAGCAGCTCCTCTCCCTCCCTCCCTGCTGGCCAGGGAGGAGGGAGGCTCCAACTGGGTTGCTTGGCTGCGTTGCTCACCCAATAAGGAGTCTAAGAACGACTGGGGGGGTGGAGCTTGCAGGCCTTGTGCCAATCAAATCGGCCGCATTGCCTGGGGACTCGCCTTTGCTCAGCGCTTCCCAGCGGAGAGGGGACGGTGGTTTTCCTTGCTGCATTCCCTTTGCCGGGTTGCTGCGCTGTGGGAACCACCGCTTGAGGCTTCGTTTGGCTGCTGGTTGACTAAAATCCCTTATTTTGGCTGCTGATCCCTTATTTTCGAGGCTGCTAGTTCCTTATTTTCAAATCTGTAAGTTGACAGCCATGGTTCAGTCGCCTTCAGGCCTCGGCGCGCACTGACCCCTGTCGCTCTCCAGGCTTCAGTGAAGGCAACCCGAAGCCTCAGGAGCGTGGAGGGAGTTTCCGCTGCGCTCCGGAGGCTTCGGGTTCCTTTCGACCTGCTCTTTGGGGCTGGCGGGGGGAAGCCCACCGCCAGCCCCAAGGAGCAGGTCGGGGAGCAGCGGAAAGGCACGCAGCCTTCCCGCTGCTCCGTGAGCTTCTTTGCGCTGCCGGGGAAGCCCGCCCCCCCCAGCCCCAAAGAGCAAAGAAGCCAAGACAGCGAGAGGGATGCATCCCGCTCGCTGTCTTGGCTTCTGCCATAAGGTAAAAGGTAAAGGGACCCCTGACCATTAGGTCCAGTCGTGGCCGACTCTGGGGTTGCGGCGCTCATCTCGCTTTATTGGCCGAGGGAGCCCGCATGCAGCTTCCGGGTCATGTGGCCAGCATGACTAAGCCGCTTCTGGCGAACCAGAGCAGCGCACGGAAACGCCGTTTACCTTCCCGCCGGAGCGGTACCTATTTATCTACTTGCACTTTGGCGTGCTTTCGAACTGCTAGGTTCCCCGTCGCGGGGATTCGAACCGCAGACCTTCTGATCGGCAAGTCCTAGGCTCTGTGGTTTAACCCACAGCGCCACCCGCGTCCCTTGGCTTCTGCCATAGCCGCGCACAACCTCTCCAGCCGGGAGAGGCTGCGTGCGGCTATGGCAATACCCCCACCTCCCGCAAAAGCCCACAGGAGCCGCGCACTCTTTAAGGGCTTTTCTACGAGGAGGGAGAAGGGACTGACTGGGCGCATCAGTCCCTTCTCCCTCCTGGGGAAAAGCCCATAAGAGCCACACGGAGATTGTGTGGGGCTTTTGGGGGCTTTTCCCGCCTGCCTCCCCCCTGCATTCACCCCGTAAGACGCACACACATTTCCCCTTACTTTTTAGGAGGGGAAAGGTGCGTCTTATGGAGCGAAAAATACGGTAGCCTTCCCCAAAATGGTGTCCTCCAGGTGGTTCAGACCCATCCGAGGCTGCCTGGAGGGCACCTGGTTGGGAAAGGTGGATTCACCCTCAGATGTTCAGAAAATCCACACCTTCTTAAGCATGAACAAAACCCGAGGCCAACTGCGAAAAGTTGGTGGTGCCATAGTTGGGAGTGCCAGACAAATGAATCTCGCTCCCCCTCTTTCTTTTTTCCTTTCTCCTCCTGTGAGGCTGCATTTTAATGTTTTAAAGTTGTATTTTAATCTTGTTTTTTTAAGTTGTATTCATTCAACTTGTTTTTATTATTGGTTGTTAGCCGCCCTGAGCCCGGCCTTGGCTGGGGAGGGCGAGGTATAAATAAAAATTATTATTATTATTATTATTATTATTGTGTGTGTGGCCTCGGGGGCCGGTCCCTGCCTCTCAGCCTGGCCCTTGCCTCCCTCGCAAGGCTGTTGTGAGGATGGAAGGAGGAGAAGGGGGGAAACGCCTTCTCCTATGAAAAAAGATGGCCTGCGGATGCAATAAGGAGAATCATCAAAGGAGGTCCAGATCGGGAGGATGACTTCTAGGTTTCAGTAAAAAAATAAAATATAAATCCTATTTCACTGGGGAAGTTTAGATGAGGAGTTTCTGGAGCAACCAAGGTGGGATATAAATAATAAAATTGTGATCACCATTCCTTCTGCAAACGCCATCCAAAAAGGAAAAAATCCTATTTCGCTGGGGAAGTTTAGATGAGGAGTTTCTGGAGCAACCAAGGTGGGATATAAATAATAAAATTGTTATCATTATTCCTTCTGCAAATGCCGTCCAAAAAGGACTTCAGCAAGGAGATTTTTTGGGGGGGTGTATGGAAGGGAAACACCTGCTGAAATTGCACAAATGTGGGGTTCCAGCAGCACCCTCAAGCCACGCCACAGAGTGGGCTAGCAGATTTTTAAGGGGGGTCATAGGAACGAACCCCCTTTTCTTGGTCAAAGCCAGATCTGACATTCCCCCACCCCTTCCCCAAATCGCCCTGCTTCTCAGTCCCCCCCTTAAAATCATGTCAGGGTCTGCTCCAAAGCCACACCCAGACCCTCTTGGTGGCAGTTATGGGTCGGGCCCCATAGGCCAGATTTTTAAGGCACTTTGCACATGCCCTGCGCTCAAGGGGTTGTTCCGAGCCGCCGCCCCCCCAGCTCAGGACGAGGCCTACTAGTGCACCCCTCTCCTTGCAAGAACCCAGGCGTCCGGGCCCCCAAACCCTCCGACCCACCCAAGATCCCCAAGGCTGCCGCCGCCCCACAACTCTGGGTTGCAGCAAGGAGGAACCCAGGCGTCCGAGCTCTCCCCCTCCATCTCTATCGCCCCCAAAGTGGGAGCGGGGAGCCCCCTATTAGCCCCCCATGCACAGGGGGGTGGGGGTGGAGGGAGAGGGGGTCCTGGGGGGCCAGCCAACTTTCACCCTAGAGAATATATGGGGAGGAAAAAGGAGGAAAGGGGAAGAGGGCAAGGGACGCGCCCAGCTCAGAAATAGGGGGCCGATTTCCCCACCCTAAAAACTGCATCAGGCTTGAATGCAATGGGTGGGGTGGCGGGGGGGGGTCTCCTGCAGCCTCCCCCCCCCAGGGGGCTCACCTGATCCCAGGATCTGGCAGCTTGTGGGGTCGATCTTCCTTGCGCCCCAGCTCGATCCCCTCCCGGGCCGAGGCTTCCTTGCAAACTTCCTTGCAAACTTCCTTCCGTCCCGCAGAAAACTTTCCTTCCCTTTCTCTGCCCCCCCCCCTCCGCCTCCCACGCAACACTTTTTTTTTTCTTAATGGACCCCCCCGGGGTGACGTCACCGCATTCCAGAGCGTCACGTGGAGCCTGGGAATTCCTGCCACTTCCGGTGGGAGGAGGGCGAGGGGTGGGGTGGGGGTCTGGGAGGGGGCGGGGCGGAGGGTCCCCTCCCCTCCCCCCAATTGCCTCTCTCGGACTCCTGGGTTCCTCTTGGAAGAGGAGGTCTTCCTCTGTAGGGTTTTTTTTAGAGTAAAGGGCTTGGGGGGGCTCCTCTGGGGGGCAAGGGTGGGGGTGGGGAAGGGGCAGGACGCCTGGGTCCTCCAGGGAAGGATTGCGCCTCTAGGTGGGTCCTTTGGGAGGAAGTGTGTCAGGAATCTTTTTTGGTGGTGGGGGGGGAGAAGGACTCCTGAGTCCTCTAAAAAAGGGGTCTGTCTCTAGTGGGGCGCCCGCTCAAGGGGCGGAGCAGGACTCCTGGGTCCTCTTTGTTTCATATGGTCAGAGTGGTTTGAATTTTGCCTTTAGTTTAAAAGTTAAAAGTTTCTTAAAATCATAATAAAAGTGGTTTTTCCTGGGGGGGTACCAGCAGGGCAGGACTCCTGGGTCCTCTTGGGCAGGGGGAGGGGAAAGTAAGGTACAAGAAGGTGGGGGAGGGGAGCAGGACTCCTGGGTTCCCCTGGGAAAGGGCTGCGTGCGCCTCCAGTGGCCCGGACGCCTGGGTTCCCTTCCCCAGGAAAGAAGGCCTGGTGGGAAGCCAGGATTCCTGACCTTGCTTCGGAGTGCAGTTGGGCCTAGTGGGCGGAGGCAGGCTTGAAAAAGGAGAGGGGCTGGCGCTCTTTCTCGTCCCCCCCCCACCTCACCTAGGGAGCTGTGATGCAGAGTTGCGTGTCTGAGACAGGGGCTGGGTGTGCCAGTCTTCCAGTCGGTCGGGGTCTGCATGTCCTGGCACGCCTGGCAGGGGAGCGGATCCAATCCTGTCTCTTCCGCTGTCTGCCTTTGGCAGTGAGGAATCCGCGGTCAGAGCTCTTGCGCCAGCCTTCCAGGCGCACTCGGACTACAAATCCCATCGGCGGAGGGGTGGGCTGGATGGCCTTTGGGTGCCACCTCCTTAAGAAGGCGTGGGATTTCGCGGCCGTCGCAAAGGGGGGTCTGAGCTTACCCTTCCCCAGCTGAGGACCCTCCAGGTGGCCTGGACTACGAATTCCATCAGGGAAGGCTGGTGTGGTGTTAAAGTGCTGGACTAATAATAATAATAATAATAATAATATTTTATTTATACCCTGACCACCCTGGCCAGGGCCAGGCTCAGGGCAGCTAACACCAGATATGAATTACAATAAAATGTAATAGAAAACAACAACAAACAATCAAACAAACAAACAAACAGTTAATTAAAATACGGCTTAAACCTCGCAAGGCTGTTGTGTAGATTAAATGAGAACCACGTGTGGCATTTTTGAGATCGTTGCAGAAAAATGGTGGGGTTGCAATGCAAAGCAATACCATTAAGTGCAATAAAATAAAATAAAATAATTAAATTAAATTAAATTAAATGGTTGTAACTAAACTAGAATCCCAAAACTGTTCGGTGATTCTAATGAGCTTTGCGTAAATATGACCTGCTACCCTGAATTGAGAGTCGACACTTTCCTCTATTACATTTTTCACCTTGAGGGGCGATGTGTGGGGTCCCCATTAACTTTAGAATAACAACCCTGTGCGGTAGGTCAGGCTGCCTGATATATTTCATGGCAGAGTCGAGATCTGAACCCGGATCCTTGGTGGTTTTGTTTTCGTTTGCTGTGGATGAAATTGGTGGCGGCGTCTCATTCCTACAGCATAGGTGGCGCATTGGATCAGTGCGCCAGAAGGATGGTGATTTGAGCCCACCCAGGGGCGACTGGGGGGGGGCAGGATTCCTGCATAGAAGCGGGTTGGACTAGATGACCCTTGGGGTCCTTCCCGTGGGCTGATGGGAGTTGTAGTCCAAAACATCTGGACGTCACCAGGTTGGGAAAAGAGTGTCTTAGCTAGCCAAGGAAGGTCCCCAGAACCTCTTTTCTGCTTCTAACGCCAGAACTAAGCATTTAGACGCCAGAACTAGGTATAAAGAAACCAGGACATGTGCAGAGTGCAAAAGACCCTAGGAATTCCTGGTGGTAAGAGCTGTTTGATAGCGGAATGGACTCCCTCGTGATGAGCTCTCCTTCCTTGGAGGTTCTTCAAGGCTGCCTGCCAGGGATTTTTTGAGCTCCCATTCCTGCCTTGCAGCGGGGCTGGACTGGATGACCGCTGGGTGCCCCCTCCCAATTTGCAAGTCTACGATTCACGTTCATATATATGCCTGAAGGTGATCGGGAGAGGCTTCTGAGGAAGGAGGCGGGGACTTGACCTGCCGAGCAAGCTCGCATATGCCCCCCCCCAACGGAAACGGACGTGAATCACTGTCTCGTTCGCCCTGGCACACTCCCAACCTTATAGGGCCCTCTTTATCAATCTTGGCCGCGGCTCAAACGCTTTAATAGACACCAGAGAGCTGGAAAGAGCAAATATTGCCGCAGCTCTGTGTGTGGGATGAGTCGGGGAGGGAACGGTGGGATGGTGCAGTGGTTAGAGCGCAGGTCGGTCCTTTCCGTCAGGCCAAAGAAGCCTTGGAGGGGGGGTGAGGGGTGGAGAGAAGGCTATAGATCAGGAAAAACGGGCGTCTGGCAAAGAAAGGGTGGTTCTCCAGCCAGCTGCCACATTGGCACTCTGGCGGTCTGGACCGAGGCCTGGTCCACAATCTTCTTCCGCCCGAGGCAAGCAAGCGTCTATTTTTAAGGCTGGACACGCCCCCCCCAGCTGACCGCTGCAGCGTCCTGTGAAATCCGAAATCTAAATATAATACGAATCGGCAGGAGCATCTCAGAGTCCTTTTGCTATTTCGGACCTGGGAACTTCTTCCAACAGCTCACTAAGTCTCCCCAAACTACACAGCTGCCTCCAGGACCTCAATTCTGCCTTCTCAGGTTTTCCAGACACCCCACCCACAGGTGGGACACGGGTGGCGCTGTGGGTTAAACCACAGAGCCTAGGGCTTGCCGATCAGAAGGTCAGTGGTTCGAATCCCCACAGCGGGGTGAGCTCCCGTTGCTCAGTCCCTGCTCCTGCCAACCTAGCAGTTCGAAAGCACCTCAAAGTGCAAGTAGATAAATAGGTACCGCTCCAGTGGGAAGGTAAACGGCGTTTCTGTGCGCTGCTCTGGTTCACCAGAAGCAGCTTAGTCATGCTGGCCACATGACCCGGAAGCTGTACGCCGGCTCCCTCGGCCAATAAAGCGAGATGAGCACCGCAACCCCAGAGTTGGCCATAACTGGACCTGATGGTCGGGGTCCCTTTACCTTTACCTAGCCGTGTAAGGGACGCAGGTGGCGCTGTGGGTTAAACTACAGAGCCTAGGGCTTGCTGATCAGAAGGTGGGCGGTTCGAATCCCCACAGCGGGGTGAGCTCCCATTGCTCAGTCCCAGCTCCTGCCAACCTAGCAGTTCGAAAGCACCTCAAAGTGCAAGTAGATAAATAGGTACCACTCCGGCGGGAAGGTAAACGGCGTTTCTGTGCGCTGCTCTGGTTCGCCAGAAGCGGCTTAGTCCTGCTGGCCACATGACCCGGAAGCTGTACGCTGGCTCCCTCGGCCAGTAAAGCGAGATGAGCGCCGCAACCCCAGAGTCGGCCATGACTGGACCCAATGGTCAGGGGTCCCTTTACCCTTTACCTTTACCTAGGTTTTCCAGACACCCCACCCACAGCACCACCCAAAAGCTTCCCATTTATTTCATCTCAACCCTGCGAAGTAGATGAGGCCGAGAGAAGCAGGGACTGGCCCTAACACCAATGAGCCTCATGGGTTCCAGTGAGGGAATTCGAACCCGACTCCAGTGCTCTAACCACTGCGACAAACTGGCTCTCAATAGAGAGGGCCGTTTATTTGCTCATTTCGTTTTGATCCGACCAACGAGCGGAAGGGGGTGTGCATGGCTCTCGTCCTGATATCCTCGTGTGGTAGGCCAGGCTGAGAGATGGTAGCCGAGGCAGAATTCGAACCCAGATCCCAGTCCAGCCCTCTACCATGGGTAGGCAAACTAAGGCCCAGGGGCCGGATCCAGTTCAGTTGCCTTCTCAACCCAGCCTGCGTATGGTCCGGGAATCAGCGTGTTTTTACATGAGTAGAATGTGTCATTTTATTTAAAATGCATCTCTGGGTTATTTGTGGGGCATAGCAATTCGTTCTTTCTCTTTCCCCCCCAAAATATAGTCTGGCCCCCACAAGGTCTGAGGGACAGTGGACCAGCCCCCTGCTGAAAACGTTTGCTGAACCCTGCGCTAAGCTATAGCTTGTTTAAAAAGTAAAGGCAAAGTTTGGAAGGCAAAGTTCGGAAGAGAACTTTAAAAGGTGCCTCTGGAACCGTGCAGAATTTGCACTCGTCTCAAGCCAGCTCTGGGATCCAGCATGCCCATTTCAGCACGGCTAAGTCTCTCCAGCGGCATGTTTTCCCGACACAATGTAGGAGGAAGACCAAGTGTGAGGATAACTCAGTCCGTGGCAGATGGCAAGGCCTTATTGGTGTTGGCACCCCAGTTATGGCTGTTCACATTGCAATCACTGAATGCTCTTCTGCATGGAACTGGAACAATATCCTCTCACCTAGAAAGCTAGTCTGTCAGCAACGAGGGTGAAACCGAGTCCCCTCCCTGACACTGCGGCGGGTTGAGCTAGAGGACCCTTTGGTGTCCCCATCAAACTGTGTGGTTCTGTGATTTTATAACAGGCCAGTTTTCAGCGCATGAGAACCACCCTCCTGCTATATAACAGTCCAGAAAGGGGTCAGCAAACTTTTTCAGCAGGGGGCCGGTCCACTGTCCCTCAGACCTTGTGGGGGCCGGACTATATTTTGTGGGAAAAAATAAAAAATGAACAAATTCCTATGCCCCACAAATAACCCAGAGATGCATTTTAAATAAAAGGACACATTCTACTCACGCTGATTCCTGGACCGTCTGCAGGCCGGATTTAGAAGGTGATTGGGCCGGATCCGGCCCCAGGGCCTTAGTTTGCCTACCCATGGTCCAGAGAGACAGGTTTGCTATCTCACCTGCTGTTTGGAAGAACTGGAACACAAGAAGAGCAGAGGTTACAAGGAAGGAAGGGTGTTTGGGCTGGGTGTCCATCAATATGCGGATGATACCCAGCTCTACCTCTCTTTCAAATCAGAACCAGTGAAGGCGGTGAAGGTCCTGTGTGAGTGTCTGGAGGCGGTTGGAGGATGGATGGCGGCTAACAGATTGAGGTGGAATCCTGACAAGTACTGTTTTGGGGGGACAGGAGGCGGGCGGGTGTGGGGGACTCCCTGGTCCTGAATGGGGCAACTGTGCCCCTGAAGGACCAGGTGCGCAGCCTGGGAGTCATTCTGGACTCACAGCTGTCCATGGAGGCGCAGGTCAGTTCTGTGTCCAGGGCACCTGTCTACCAGCTCCATCTGGTACGCAGGATGAGACCCTCCCTGCCCGCAGACTGTCTCACCAGAGTGGCGCATGCTCTGGTTATCTCCTGCTTGGACTACTGCCATGCGCTCTACGTGGGGCTACCTTTGAAGGTGACCCGGAAACTACAACTAATCCAGAATGCGGCAGCTAGACTGGTGACTGGGAGCGGCCACCAATACCACATAACACCAGTCTTGAAAGACCTACACTGGCTCCCAGTATGTTTCTGAGCACAATTCAAAGTGTTGGTGCTGACCTTGAAAGCCCTAAACAGCCTCAAAGACCCAGTAGACCCGAAGGAGCATCTCCACCCCCATCGTTCTGCCCTGACACTGAGGTCCAGCACCGAGGGCCTTCTGGCAGTTCCCTCCCTGCGAGAAGGGAGCTTACATGGGAACCAGGCAGAGGGCCTTCTCGGTAGTGGCCCCCGCCCTGTGGAACGCCCTCCCACCAGATGTCAAAGAAATAAACAACTACCAGACTTGTAGAAGACATCTGAAGGCAGCCCTGTTTAGGGAAGCATTTAATGTTTGATGCATTACTGTATTTTAATATTTTGTTGGAAGCCGCCCAGAGTGGCTGGGGAAGCCCAGCCAGATGGGCGGGGTATAAATGGTAAATTATTATTATTATTATTATTATTATTCCCACACCTACACAGAGTGCTCTCACCGCCTTCATTGAGCAAGTAGCGCAGACTGCTCCACATAATCACCCCAGTGAATCTGAGATTGATGGTTCAGGAATTCGAAGGCAAGAGGTTAGGAGTCCACGCGAGGCAGACACCTGCTGTCCAATATCTTGTAGTAAAGGAGAGACGCAGGATGAGGCCAGCTCCTCTGTTTGAGCCTGGCGTCAGAGGAAGCAAGTCTCTGGGTTTTGCAAAAACCACACAGGCAGGCGCCAGAAAAACACTCTGCCCTCCTGTGGAGACAGCGCGTAGCCATGGCCTGGCTAGCAGCCGTCTAGATTGGTGGCCATCGCTGCTTCTTGTGGCGGGGAGTTCCGCAGATTAACCTTGCGCCGCGGGAAGAAGTCCTCCTTTCCCCGCTGTCCCAAATCTTCCAACACTCACTGGAGTTAGGAGAGAAGGGGAAATCGACTTTTTTCTCCGTCCACAATCTCCATGCAGCGCCCCTTTCCATTCCCACCTGCGTGGAGTTGGGGGGGGGAGAGAGAAATGCCCTCGGCACATGCTCAGAGGCACTCTGCCTCTGTTGCGGCTTCGGATATTCCACTGCTGGGGGAACTGGGGACCCCCCCCCTGCCGCCGCCGCGCTCTTCCCTCCGTCCTTTGGCTCCGTTTGAACTCCGGACCAAAAACTCAGGAAAAGCTGGGGGGGGGGGGAAGGAAAAGGGGAGGAAATGGTCTCATGCAAACAGGTGCTTCCTCTCTCCGGCCTTCGCCCACCCCCAAAATAAAAAAAGAACAAAACCTTAGTAACCCCTCCGTCGCGCGCCCTCTGCTTGCGAGAAATCTCACAATGTAAGGAAGCGTGAAACAAAGTCTAGAAAAAGCCTTAGGGGTCGGGGAGGGGGCTTTGAAGCGGGGACCCCCCCCCCCGCCATTCAGTGCGTTTGGCAAGATATCAAGATTTGGGGAACTGAAAGAAGGCAGTCAGGGTTTTTTTTGGGGGGGGGATTATGCTTCCATCTTTGGGGTTGTGCGCTAAGACGCGGAGCCCCCCTCTTTTTCCTGAAAGTGCTATAAATACACCCACTCCTGCCCCCCCCCCAAAAACACACAGACACACCTCTCTCTCCTTCGCAGTAGAGCTGAGCCAAACTCCGAAAGGAAGGATGTGTGACTTAACACCGTTTCCTCTCCGACGTTATAAAAAGGCCACACCGGCCCGGCCGTCCTCTGAGGCTGGTTCTCGGGGCGCCGCGGCTTCAGGGGGGGTGAAAGGGGGTTCAGCTGGCTTTCTGGCCCCCTCCCCACCTGAAGCGGGCAGGGACAGCACCTTGCAGGCGGCTCCAAGAAAGACCCTGCGGGACGGGGCGGTAAGCGCTCAAAACCAGGCGTTTCCAAGGACGCGCAAAAGGGGTGAAGGGCAGGTGGGTTGTTTTTTTCCTGGGGGGGGGGGAGAGAAACGGGGTTCAAGGGGTGAAGGAGAGGCTACCCGTGGCTACTACCACTAGGCAAGAGGGCTATGATCTACGCCGTCCCCTGTTGGAGGCAGTAAATGCGTCTGGATGATAGTCGCTGCGGGGAGAGTTTCTGGTGCGCGCGGGTCGCGGTTGCGGGTTTCTCCGTCGTGGGTACCAGCTTGGCCCACCGTGAAAAGAGGGTGGGGGGGGCCTGGATGAGTCCAGGGTCTTCTTAGGTTCTTAGCAGCGGGCTGGGAGGAAACGGGACCCCTGGGGGTGGTTTGGTGGGGGGAGAGGCGGCGGTCTCGGTTTCCATGGTCTCATGCGCTCGCCTCGCGCTTTTCTCCCCCAAAGGCGCAGAACAATAGAGGCATCTCCGCATCATCGCGCAGGTAAAGGGCACTCCGTTAAAAATAAAAATGTATTTGGAACACAGTGGTACCTCGGGTTAAGTACTTAATTCGTTCCGGAGGTCTGTTCTTAACCTGAAACTGTTCTTAACCTGAAGCACCACTTTAGCTAATGGGGCCTCCTGCTGCCGCTGCACGATTTCTGTTCTCATCCTGAAGCAAAGTTCTTAACCCGAGGTACTATTTCTGGGTTAGCCGAGTCTGTAACCTGAAGCGTATGTAACCTGAAGCGTATGTAACCCGAGGTACCACTGTATCAATATAAATTTATATTTGTGACAACAAATGAAAATGATTTCAAAAAATCAAATCAAAATCCTGGGAACTATAGTTTCCCCCTCGGGGTGCGATGATTCCAAGGAGCTTTGGAGAGCTACAGTTCCCAGGAATCTTAAGGGGCTTTGAACGCACAGTGCGTGGGCAAATCTGAGATCCCGTTGTGGTTTAAGAACCCTGGCGACTGAAGTTGAAGCCTTCGCAGCGCTACAGTTCCCAGCACCCTTAATCAGCTACAGCGCCCGAGATTCTCTTGAGGAGAAGGAAATGCGCTTCGGAAGTACGGCGCGTACGCACCGGACCGGGACGCGGGAGAGACCTGAGTTCGAATCCCCACTCGGCTGTGAAGCTCCCTGTCACTGGCTCTCCGCTTCACCTGCCTCGCAGGGTTGTCGTGGGGGTTAAATGAGGAGGGGGGGGGTAAAGAACCATGCGCGCCTCTTTGAGCAAACTGGAGAAAAAGGCGAGATGTAAATGCAATCGATTGATTATTCAAAATATTTAAAGGTGCCTTGAATCCCGACTCGGGAAGAAGGCAGGATATAAATGCATTAAATAAATACAACAGATTTGGGGCAGGGAACTTTGGATCTTGGGAACTAGGGACTCCAGATTTGGTGCAAGGGATCGTGGGAACTAGGGACTCCGGGGAGGGGTTTTCCGTGACTTCTTGGAGGCGAGCTGCGTGCGGCCGCAAAAGGCAGGGCGCCAGGACTTCTGCGTTCTTCAGTAAATGAATGGGCGGGAGGATCAAAGAGGCGGCAGGCGGCCCGGACTCCTGGGTTCCCCCCTCCAGCTCTGAGCTAAGTCCCTGGCATGAGATGGCTGTCCTGTGTGCGGTGGATTCCCCTTTGATGGATGTCTCTAAACAGAGCTCCGGTGGCCATCTGTCAGGGATTCTTCAGCTATGATCCTTGCATTGCAGGGGGGGTGGACTAGATGGCCGCTGGGTACCCCTTCCGACTAACGAGTTCTCTATATGACTCCAGGACAGCCGAGCTCATGGCAGCTCAGTCGGCAGAGCTCTCTCTCTCTCTCTCATTTTCTAATTTACATTTCAAAATATCCATTTAAGCAACCTTAAATCAAAGATTTCCTTTCTTCTCTTTCCGTGGTTCATTTTGCATACCAAACATCCCTGCATGTTTTACATGAACGAAACCAGCAGTAAACCATTGTTACATCCATCAAAACTTATTTACACTGCTAGATTTATCTTAATGCTACCAGCATTTTTAGGGACGCGGGTGGTGCTGTGGGTTAAACCACAGAGCCTAGGACTTGCCGATCAGAAGGTTGGCGGTTCGAATCCCTGCGACGGGGTGAGCTCCCGTTGCTCGGTCCCTGCTCCTGCCAACCTAGCAGTTCGAAAGCACACCAGTGCAAGTAGATAAATAGGTAAAGGCGGGAAGGTAAACGGCGTTTCCGTGCGCTGCTCTGGTTCGCCAGAAGTGGCTTAGTCATGCTGGCCACATGACCCAGAAGTTGTACGCCAGCTCCCTTGGCCAATAAAGCGAGATGAGCGCCGCAACCCCAGAGTCATCCGCGATAGGACCTAACGGTCAGGGGTCCCTTTTTACCAGCATTTTAAAAAGAACACAATTTTCACCCATATATTCAGTAAACGTTTTCCAATCTTCTCTAAACGTATGTTCTTCTTGTTCTCTTATTCTATATGTTAAATCTGCAATTGCGTGTATTCCGTCAGTTTAAGTTGCCATGCTTCTTTGCTTGGGACCTCGCTCGTTTTCCATTTTGGGGCTAACTAAAAACGGGCCGCAGTAGTGGCGTACATAAATAGTCTTTTTTGACACCCTCTGAATTATCCCCAGCAAAGAGGACTCTGTGGGGGGTTTTTTTGGAAAGGTACTTTTAAACATTTTTTTTCAATTCATTATATATCATTTCCCAATCCTCTTTTACCCTTTTACAAGTCCACCACATGTGATAAAACGTAACCTCATTACATCTCCAGCACTTACCCGATTATGACTTAAACATTTTAGCAAGTCTACTCAGAGTTAAATACCATCTATAAATCATTTTCAGGTAGATCTCCTTCAATGAATAACATGCTGTGAACTTCAAATCACTCTTCCAAAGTTTCCCCCAGAGATTCAAATCTATATATTTTGTGTGTGTGTGTGGATATCTCTCTCTCTCTCTCATTTTCGTGGTCTTTTAGGTTTTCCTGCTTTTGGTGTAACTCTATATGCTTTTAATTTCTTTTCTTTCTTTTCTTTTTATAGATCATCTTTATTGCATTAAAAAAATTACAAAAATGAGAACAAATTAATCCTTACACCCACTTGTACCAAAAAGAATACGATACATAAAAGAAAATATAAAAAGTGGAAAGGAAAAAAAAATACTTGTCAAGTTCACAATGTTATTTAAGGACTACAAACCATCGTTTAAATATTTGATACACAAAATTCATAGCAACACATTACCTTCATATTCTCGCTTTCTTTCCCCCCTCTTTTACCATCGCATTCTTCCTATTCTTCTAAACTGGTTTGAGTCCCTTGGGTCTTAACTGACTTCCCTCTATATATTATGTCCTGTATCTATTGCCCAGCAGAGTGGGAGGCTCTTCGTCTCAGGGCTGCGGGTTCGAGTTCTGCAACGGCGGGTTGGGCTAGATGACCTTTGGTGGTCTCCGCGATTCTAAGGCTCTTCCCGCTCCTGTAGGTGTGATGGCCGGGCCACGCGACCAGAGCGACGTGCGCGAGTTCACACGCCACTCCGGCGACGTCCTGATGAACCTGAACGAGCTCCGGAAACGACACTTCCTCACAGACGTCACCTTGCGAGTGGGGGGCTGCCCCTTGCAGGCTCACAAAGCTGTCCTCACTGCCTGCAGGTGAGTGTCCCACCCTATCTGTGTGTGTCTGTGCCACGCGTGGCCAAGGGGGTCCGCAGGAGGGCAGCGGCAGCTTGTGAAAGCGCAAGAGGGAGCGACAAGAGCATGTGGCTGAGGAACGCTTGGTTCAGTACCGGATTTGAGACCTTGGGCTTAATGCTCGTCTGGAGAGATGGGACATTAGCCAACTGTGTGGTTAACATTTATCCAATGAAAATAGGGATACCCTACTCCATGGTAATTAGGGACGCGGGTGGCGCTGTGGGTTAAACCACAGAGCCTCTTGGGCTTGCCGATCAGAAGCTCGGTGGTTCGAATCCCCGTGATGGGGTGAGCTCCCGTTGCTCGGTCCCTGCTCCTGCCAACCTAGCAGTTCGAAAGCATGTCAAAGTGCAAGTAGATCAATAGGTACCGCTCCGGCGGGAAGGTAAACAGTGTTATTCTGTTGGGAGCTGCCCAGAGTGGCAGAACCACGGTCTTGCAAAGGAAACCATGGTTTGCCCTGTGTGAATGTCCCACATCCCATCATAGAACGTGGCCGCAACTAGAGCATGCTGGGACTTGTGGTCCTCTTGCCCTGACGCCTCTCCTCCTTCTCTGTGCCCTTTGCAGCGGGTTTTTCTACTCCATCTTCCTGGGCCAGGGAGGCCACGAGGTCAGCGTGCTCACCTTGCCCAGTTCCATCGAGCCCGCCGGCTTCCAGGCCCTCCTCGACTTCATGTACACATCCCGCCTGGTCCTCACGCCGGGCACCGTGCCAGCGGTCCTGGCTGCCGCCTCTTACCTGCAGATGGAGCACGTGGTGGAGAGTTGCCATCGCTTCATCCAGGCCAGGTACGCGGGTGGGGAGGGCAAGAGGGGTGCCCCCAGAGAACATAGCTGTCAACCGTCCCTTATTTGGCGGGAAAGTCCCTTATCCCAGTGCTGTGTCCCGCTGCTGTCCCTTATTGATGATGTCCCTTAAATTTCCCGGGTTTCAAAGGAAGCAGCTCCTCTCTCTCCCTCCCTCCCTCCCTGCCAGGGAGGAGGGAGGCTCCAGCTGTGTTGCTTGGTTGCATTGTTCACCCAATAAGGAGTCTAAGAACGACTGGGGGGTGGAGCTTGCATGCCTTGTGCCAATCAAATCGGCCGCATTGCCTGGGTACTCGCCTTTGCTCAGCACTTCCCAGCGGAGAGGTGACGGTGGTTTTCCTTGCTGCATCCCCTTTGCCGGGTTGCTGCGCTGTGGGAACCACCGCTTGAGGCTTCATTTGGCTGCTGGCTGGGCTTTCTACCTTTGGCTCGGAGGGGCTCAGAAGTTGAACATACCTGTGTTTGGAAAATCCCTTATTTTGGCTGCTGATCCCTTATTTTTGAGGCTGCTGGTCCCTTATTTTCGAGGCTGCTGGTCCCTTATTTTCAAATCTGTAAGTTGACAGCTATGCCAGAGAACAAACCACAGAGAAACGGGTTGGAAGATTCAAGGCAGGCGCAACGGAGCGCTTTTTCAGGCAGAGGAACTGCGGAACTCCCCGCCACTTGAGGCAGTGACCGCAGCCAACTTGGATGGCTTTGAAAGAAGACTGGACCAATTCGAAAAGGCTATTTGGGGGAGGGCTATTAGCCAGAACAGCTATTCTCTGCCTCCATAATCAGAGGCAGCAAGTGCTTCTGTGTCCCAGTTGATGGAAAACGCAGAAAGGGAGTGGGGTCTTGTGTTCGAATCCTCCCTGGGGGTTTCTCATCATGGGAATCTTTGAGAGCAGGACGCTGCCGGACCAGTGAAATCAAACGTGGGAGGCAAGTCGGTGTGACATTCGTCAAAATATCAGCACTCCGCCGTTCTTAAAACATATCTGGTACTCTTGCCTAAGGAAATAAGCTCTGAACAGGTGCTAGGACCAGTCTGGATAGTTAGCCTTGGTGAAGACTTGACGTTTTTATCCCCCCAAAAGTTTTTGATTGAGTTTCCACTGAAATGAGGCTGCATTTTAATGTTTCAATGTTGTATTTTAATCTTGTTTTTAAAGTTGTATTTCAATCAATTGTTTTTATATTTGGTGTTAGCCGCCCTGAGCCCGGTCTTGGCTGGGGAGGGCGGGGTATAAATGAATTTTTTAAAAAAAATTATTATTATTATTATTATTGAAGCAGACCGGAGAAGGGCCCTTCCTCGTCTTAATGGCAGCCGTGGAAATTTGGGAAGATGACAACAAAGGCTTCTTTAATTCAGAAGCCAAATCCCACTTCTCTGGTTCAGGGCAGACAAAGCATTTTTTCCCACGCAGCCCAATGGAACTCACTGCCACAAGACGGCTTAAAAAGAGGTCCAGGCAGATGCACGGAGCAGCCAGCTATTGAAGGCAACTAGCCAGAACAGCTAAGCTCTGCCGTCGCAGTCGGGGGGCGGCGGCGGCAAATGCTTCTGAATAATCCCAGTTGCTGGAAGTCAGAGGTCCTGTGTTCGAATTCTGCCAGAACGGGATGCTAGCCCTTCTGACTTTGTTCTGTTCTGATGTTCTTACGCAGCTACGACCGGGTGACCTTCTTCCTGACCCCCCCAGCGCCCACCTTCCTCCGCCACAGACCCCTAGAAGACGCCGGGGGGTCCCTTGCCCCCAGTTTCCCAAGGCAGGGCCAAGAAGAACCCCCCACCGTCGCTGGGGCCTCCGGCTGCCCTCTGCCAGCTCCCTACTGCGCAAAGGACAAGGAATTGGGGTCTGCGATGTCGCCGGGGGCCGGGGACCAGTCCCCTCCGGGCCAGCCAGCCTCCCCCCGCGAGTCCAGCGGCTGCGCCCCCCCAGGCGCGGACCCCAAAGCTTGCCACTGGAAGAAGTATCGCTTCATCGTCCTCAACTCCATGCTGCGCGAGGGGAGGCCGGACCCCCCCGAATCGCACGGCCAGGCCGGCCGGGATGGAGACCCCGGGGACGGAAGCCGCCTTCACAGGTCAGGGAGCCAGTGGGGACTTTACAGATGGACTGCGGCCTGCATGTTGTGAAAATGGGGTTTAGTTTCCTCTTGGGGGCGTAGGACAGCGGGCGGAGGTCAGCTGGGTGCAGTATAAGCTAAACAAGCTCTAGCTTATTTGGGAGCTCCCCAAAAATTTAAAGGGATAAAAAAAACTGGATGTACATTTCCAAAATTTAAGATACGGTTCCGCCGCTGCGAGAAGCCAAGTTACAGGGAACCAGGCAGAGGGCCTTCTTGGTGGTGGCTCCCGGCCTGTGGAACGCCCTCCCACCAGATGTCAAAGAGATAAACAACTATCTGACTTTTAGAAGACATCTGAAGGCAGCCCTGTCTAGGGAAGCTTTTAATGTTTAATAGGTTATTGTATTTTAGTGTTCTGTTGGAAGCCGCCCAGAGTGGCTGGGGAAACCCAGCCAGATGGGCGGGGTATAAATAAGAAATTATTACAGTGGTACCTCGGGTTAAGTACTTAATTTGTTCCGGAGGTCCATACTTAACCTGAAACTGTTCTTAACCTGAAGCACCACTTTAGCTAATGGGGCCTCCTGCTGCTGCGCCTGCTGTGAGACCTGTGATGAAAGACTGTGAAAATCCCTGAAACGAGAAGGAATCGACTAGAAATATTATCTTATAGAATTAAACTAAATAACAAAAAACAAAAAGTTTAAGGAAAAAAATTAGAAAAACCTAGAACTGAACAAAGCCTTAACGGGATGCCGGCTACAAATCTCGTTTCACTGGACTATTCAGTTTCCTCAGAAGGAAATCGAGAAATCGTAAACCTTAAATGATTTTAAACAAATGCAAGAACAGGGCTGAAACGCTCCCCTGAGTTTACAAAAAGGGTTTGAAAACCTAAATGGCAAGTTTTAGACATGTTGTTGTTGTTGTTTAGTCATGTCCGACTCTTCGTGACCCCCTGGACCAGAGCACGCCAGGCACTCCTGTCTTCCACTGCCTCCCGCAGTTTGGTCAAACTCATGCTGGTGGCTTCGAGAACACTGTCCCACCATCTCGTCCTCCGTCGTCCCCTTCTCCTTGCGCCCTCCATCTTTCCCAACATCAGGGTCTTTTCCAGGGAGTCTTCTCTTCTCATGAGGTGGCCAAAGTCTTGGAGCCTCAGCTTCAGGATCTGTCCTTCCAGTGAGCACTCAGGGCTGATTTCCTTCAGAATGGAGAGGTTGGATCTTCTTGCAGTCCATGGGACTCTCAAGAGTCTCCTCCAGCACCAGAATTCAAAAGCATCCATTCTTCGGCGATCAGCCTTCTTTCTGGTCCAGCTCTCACTTCCATACATCCCTACTGGGAAAACCATAGCTTGAACTATATGGACCTTTGTTGGCAAGGTGATAGCACAAATTCAAAGAAAGGAATACAAGATAAGCTGTTTTAGATTTTAAAACAAACTCAAGAACAGGGCTGAAATGCTCCTTTGGTCTAGATGTTACTGCTATTGTTAAAGACTTATTTCTAGTTGATTACAGTGGTACCTCGGGTTAAATACTTAATTCGTTCTGGAGGTCCGTTCTTAACCTGAAACTGTTCTTAACCTGAAGCACCACTTTAGCTCATGGGGCCTCCCACTGCTGCCACGCCACAGGAGCACGATTTCTGTTCTCATCCTGAAGCAAAGTTCTTAACCTGAAGCACTATTTCTGGGTTAGCGAAGTCTGTAACCTGAAGTGTATGTAACCTGAAGCGTATGTAACCCGAGGTACCACTGTACTTCTCCTTTCAGGGATTTTCACGCTATTTCATTTGTTTTGTGTAATTTCTCGGTTCTTTGGCTGTCTTTTTTCTACTGTGATGAAAGACTGGCTATAGATAGGAAGGACGTTTTATGCCTGGCTCTGACCCTTCCTTCCTTCTGCTCTTGCCCAGGCTGCCTTCCTCTCAGCCCCACTGCTCCGCCTGCAACCAGCCAGCCCCCCTGCTTTGCTCCCACCCTCCAGAAGACGCTTCCATGGGGCAGGGAGACCCCTGTGGTTCTGGTGAGTGGGAAGGGGCGGTTTCTGTTTCTCTCTTTTCCAATCTGCCCCCGTAGGAACTGAACCCGGACCCTGTGGTCGCCACCGGGTGCCTGTCTTCGTGTGCCCCCTCGTCGCGAGGGCCGGAGGGCCGCAACACGAGGACGGGGCCTTTTGGGTGGTGGCTCCCCGCTTGTGGAACGCTGTCCTCAGGGAGGCTTGCCTGGCGCCATCATTAGACATTTCTTTTCTGCCAGGTTTTGGGCTTTGAATTATCTGTAGCCTCCTTGAATGGGTGGGATGTTTCAACCCTGCTTTTTTCCAAAGCGAGATCGCAGAGGGCCTTCTCGGTGGTGGCGCCCGCCCTGTGGAACGCCCTCCTGTCAGATGTCAAGGAAATAAACAGCTATCAGACTTTTAGAAGACATCTGAAGGCAGCCCTGTTTAGGGAAGTTTTGAATGTTTGATGTTTTATCATGTTTTTAATATCCTGTTGGAAGCTGTCCAGAGTGGCTGGGGAGGCCCGGCCAGATGGGCAGGGTATAAGTATTAAATTATTATTATTATTATTATTATTAGTTTTCCTCCTGTGCTGGTTCTAACATATGCCTCTCTCCATTTATACATTGTAAGTTGCTCTGAGTTCCTCTGGTTATAAAAAAAAAGTGACTGATAAGTTTTTATTTTATTTTTAATTTTTTTTAATTCATTTTTCTTTTTCATTCATTACATACATCTCAAATTCTTAACATTTACTGTATATTCCTCCCTCCCCTCCAGGGCTTCTCCCAACTTCCGCTTCTGGTTTGTTTCTGTTTTCACCCACTTTGCTATCACTTAAAAGTTATTAATAACATAACACCTAAAAACATAAAAATAAAAGTAAACACACCATCATATTTCACTTATCTTCTAAACATTTTCTAATGTTGATAATGTAAATGTTTGTTTAAATCCTGTTAAATCTATTGACTTTCTTTGTTTCTGAAAATATAATATAATATGAGTGGTTCCCAATCTTTTTCAAAGTCTCTGTTGCCTTTTTCTCTTAGTCTTTCTGTCATTTTTGCCAGTTCTGCATAGTTCATCAACTTCTCTTGCCATTGTTCTTTAGTGACTGATAAATTTAATCAATGAATAAGTCTCCATCTCTCCGCATCAGTTCGCAATTTGTTTATTTTTCTAAACGGGTCTCGTGAAAACCCACCAGGATCTTAGAGCGAATTTCTCGTAACGTGCACAAGGTCGAACGCCGTTTTGCCTCGTTTTCACATTTTTGGCAGAGCAAAGTTGCATATCGCAACACCTTTTTAACAGTAATAATAATAATAATAATAATAGATGAGTCAGTTGGTTAGAGCATGGTGCTAATAACACCAAGTTGCGGGTTCGAATCCCGTACGATATTCCTGAATTGCAGCGGGTTGGACTAGATGACCCCCTAACCCTAACCCCTTGCAACTCTACAATTCCGTGAGTCTATGAAAAAGGGATTTCGAGGCAGAAAGTGTGTTTTTGCACAGACTGGGCAGGCCCAAACGCCTCGCACTTGTGACTCCCCAGGGGCTGGCCCTTACGACTGCAGTGCCTGTGACTTAGGATACCTGGAGGAAGATGAAGAAGAGGGGGGAGGAGGAGGAAGGAGCCCTCCAGCCTCAGGAAGCGCCTTCGAGGAGAAGCCGTACAAATGCCATTTCTGCAACTCAACCTTCCGCTACAAAGGGAACCTAGCAAGCCACAGATCTCTGCATACCGGTTGGTTTTGCTTGATTTTGAACATGTCTAAACTGGGCTTTCATTCATTCCAGAACATGGGCTCCGGGCCGGTGCATATAAAACTCAAATGTCTATACAGTGGACGCTCTTGTTGCGAATGTGATCCGTGCGGGAGGCACGTTCGCAACCCGCAGCGGTGCGCCTGCGCATTTGCGGGTTGCGATTCGGTGCTTCTGCGCATGCGCAAAGTGCGATTTAGCGCTTCTGCGCATGTGTGACTGCCGAAACCCGGAAGTAACCCGTTCCAGTACTTCCAGGTTTCGGCGGTCCGTAACCCGAGAAAACACAACCCGAAGCGTCTGTAACCTGAGGTATGACTGTATATCTATATATCGATAACAATAAATTAAACTTCAACAGGGACAAATATCAGGTTCTGCACTTAGGCAGGAAGAACCAGAATGACAAATATAAGATGGGGGACACCTGGCTTACTAGCAGTACATGCAGACTAGGACCCTCGTACCTACGGGACCGCCTTTCCTGGTATGCCCCACGGAGGACCTAAGTAACAACACTTTGGAAGTCCCGAGCCCCAAGGAGGTTAGATTGGCCTCAACCAGGGGCAGGGCCTTTTCAGCTCTGGCCCCAGCCTGGTGGAACGCCCAGCAAAAGAAGCTAATGGTATTCTAGGCTGCATCCGCAGACGTCTAGTGCCCAGATCAAGAGAAGGAATAGTCCCGCTCTTCTCTTCCTTGGTTAGAGCCCACCTGGAGTCCTCTGTCCAGTTTGGGGCACCACCATTTAAGGATATTGACAAGCTGGAACATGTGCAGAGGAGGGTGACCAAGTTGATCAAGGGTCTGGAAAGCAAGCCATATGAGGAATGGTTGAAGTAACTGGGTATGTTTAGCCAGGAGAAGAGGAGACATGAAAGCCATCTTCAAATATCTGAAGGGCTGTCCCATGTAGGAGGGAGCTCTTTCTCACAGCAAGGGCCGTTCGACAGGGGAACGGACTCCCTTGGAAAGTGGTAGACTCTCCTTCCTTGAAGGTTTTTAAGCAGAAGTTGGACGGCCATCTGTCAGGGATGCTTTAGTTGAGATGCCTGCATTGCTGGGGGTTGGAATGGATGACCTCTGGGGGTCCCTTCCAACTGTGAATCCAGGAGTCTATTCAGAGTGGGGAGATGGAGTCCTGTATTGGTGGGCGGGGGAGGGGGGGATTCAGAGCAGTGTGACCAGCCCCTGAAGCCTCACCTGTGCCACTGCTACCTGTCGCGCTTAGGAGAGAAGCCGTACCACTGCGGGATTTGTGGCGCCCAGTTCAACCGTCCGGCGAATCTCAAGACTCACCTGCGTATTCACTCCGGGGAGAAGCCCTACAAGTGTGAGACTTGCGGATCTCGTTTTGTGCAGGTAAACAAAAAAGTGGGGGGAGATACCTGGCAGGGACGGGAGGACTCCCTGGTCCTGAATGGGGCAACTGTGCCCCTGAAGGACCAGGTGCGCAGCCTGGGAGTCATTCTAGACTCACTGCTGTCCATGGAGGCGCAGGTCAGCTCTGTATCCAGGGCAGCCGTCTACCAGCTCCATCTGGTACGCAGGATGAGACCCTCCCTGCCCACAGACTGTCTCGCCAGAGTGGTGCATGCTCTGGTTATCTCTCGCTTGGACTACTGCCATGCGCTCTACTTGGGGCTACCTACTTGGGGTTTTTTTTGGTTTTTTAAAATGATATTTATTGATTTTTTAAAAAAAAATACAAAAAAAAAGACAGAACAGAAAAAAGAAAAAGGAAAAAAGGAAAAATAAATCCATCATTCTCAAATTCAAATTCTCAACTTTCATTACCTTCTTTCTTTGACCTCCTCCTCCTCCCTTTTCTTGTATCCCATACTTGGGGCTACCTTTGAAGGTGACCCGGAAACTGCAACTAATCCAGAATGCGGCAGCTAGACTGGTGACTGGGAGCGGCCGCCAAGACCACAATGTAGGTCTTGAGAGACCTACATTGGCTCCCAGTACGTTTCCGAGCACAATTCAAAGTGTTGGTGCTGATCTTGAAAGCCCTAAATGGCCCAGTAGACCTGAAGGAGCGTCTCCACCCCCATTGTTCAGCCCGGACACTGAGTCCAGCTCCGAGGGCCTTCTGGCGGTTCCCTCCCTGCGAGAAGCCAAGTTACAGGGAACCAGAGAGAGGGCTTCTCGGTGGTGGCGCCCGCCCTGTGGAACTCCCTCCCACCAGGTGTCAAAGAGAAAAATAACTACCAAACTTTTAGCCCTGTTCAGGGAAGCATTTAATGTTTAATAGGTTATTGTATTTTAGTGTTTTGTTGGAAGCCGCCCAGAGTGGCTGGGGAAACCCAGCCAGATGGGCGGGGTATAAATAATAAATTATTATTATTATATTATTATAAACATAGCCCTATTAAGAAATTGAGGTTTTAAGTTTCAAACAGACTCAAAAACAGGGCTGAAGCACTCCTGACTGCCGATGTTAAAGAATGCGCTATCCTGGCGGCTGAAGTAACTGCATTCCCGCAGAGCTGTCCAGCCATCGATCATTCCTCCTTCCTTCTCCCAGGTCGCTCACTTGAGAGCCCATGTCCTGATCCACACCGGGGAGAAGCCCTACCCCTGCGGGATGTGCGGGACTCGATTTCGGCACCTGCAGACCCTGAAGAGCCACCTCCGTATCCACACGGGAGAGAAGCCTTATCATGTGAGTGGAGAGGGAGCTTTTTTTTTATACCGTATATACTGTATTTTATGCTGCTGCTATGTTGTACAGTCATAGCTCAGGTTACAGACGCTTCGGGTTGCGCGATTTCGGGTTGCGCACCACGCCAAACCCGGAATGTCCCACAGAGGAACTTACGGTCTTCCAACAAAAACATCTTGGAGTTCCCGGGCCACAGGGAGGTTAGGCTGGCCTCAACCAGAGCCAGGGCCTTTTCGGCTGTGGCCCCGATCTGGTGGAACGCTCTGTCACAAGAGACTAGGGCCCTGCGGGACTTGACATCTTTCTGCAGGGCCTGCAAGACAGAGCTGTTCCACCAGGCCTTTGGCCAAGGCACACTCTGACCCCCTCCTAGGGTAATCCTCATAGAACTTCTAGCCCAAATGGTTGCCATTAATTTGATTAGAATTAATTTTATAATGAAATGATTTTAGAATGTTGTGTCATTTTACTGTTGTTAGCCGCTCTGAGCCCGGCTTCGGCCGGGGAGGGTGGGATATAAATAAAATTTATTATTACTATTATTCATGGTGTGTTTGGTGTGGCAGATGACCAGGTGACCAGGGGCATAGGAAGGGGGGGCAGGGGGCGGTGCGCCCCAGGTTCCATCATGGAGGGGGAGGGACAAATTATCAAGGAACAATTACTGCCCTACTAGGGTGGTTCATAATTTATTTATTTTCAAATGTCTCCTCCAAAGGCCTTATCTTACTACACTAGGGATTATATAGCTATATATCAAATTTCATGCACATCAGTTAATATCCTGACCCTCCTCTATGACAATACAGTGGATGCTCAGGTTGCAAACATGATCCGTGCGGGATGCATCTTCGCAACCCGCAGCGTTCACAACCCACAGTGCCGCGCCGGCGCACGTGCAGGTCGCGATTTGGTACTCCTGCGCATGCGCATAAGGCGATTTAGTGTTTCTGCGCATGCGCGAGCGCCGAAACCCAGAAGTAACCCATTCCGGTACTTCCGGCTTTGGCGCGGTGCTCAACCCGAAATCGCGCAGCCCGAAGCGTCTGTAACCCGAGATATGACATTACAACATAGCAGCAGCATGAATCATGAATGACAATAAAATTCAAAGTTCAGAAATCAAAATGGGGGAAATCCATCTAATAAGTACAGTGGTACCTTGGGTTACATATGCTTCAGGTTACAGACTCTGCTAAGAAATAGTGCTTCAGGTTAAGAACTTTGCTTCAGGATGAGAACAGAAATTGTGCTCCGGCAGCGCGGCAGCAGCAGGAGGCCCCATTAGCTAAAGTGGTACCTCAGGTTAAGAACAGTTTCAGGTTAAGAACGGACCTCCGGAACGAATTAAGTACTTAACCCCCCGAGGTACCACTGTATTAGATAGTCACCAGGGCTAGCTGGCTGAATTGGTCCTACTTGGGCCAGCGATGAGACCAGGGGAGAATTAGCTGTGGGGTCTCAGAGTGGGTAATCTTCATAAAAGGGGAGGGGGAGGGAAAAGAAGGGAAATAAAAGATCAGGCTGAATTCAAATTAAAGGCCTGGCGGAATAGCTCTGTCTTATAGGCCCGGCGGAAGGAGGTTAAATCCTGCAGGGCCCTGGTCTCCTGGGACAGAGCATTCCACCAGGTCGGAGCCACCACTGAGAAGGCCCTGGCCGTGGTGGAGGATAGTCTGGCTTCCTTAGGGCCTGGGACTCCTAAACTATGGTTATTCATGGACCTTAAGGTCCTCTGTGGGGCACCGGGTTGGGGAAAGCCGTCCTGCAGCCCTCTGGGACGGAGGCGCCCGCCTTGACACCTGTCTTCTCTTCACAGTGTGAGAAATGCGACGTCCGCTTCCGCCACAAGAGCCAGTTGCGGCTGCACCTGAGGCAAAAACACGGCGCCATCACCAACACCAAAATCCGCTACAAAGTCCTCGAGGGCCCTTACGCTGGTCTCTGCTGAGCGGGGAGCGTATTGCGCGGTTTCGGCCGGATCCACAAATCCGCCGACTGGCGGATTCTGCGCTCAGGTATCTGAGTGGAATCTTCCGTATCCTGCACCTGAGAGCTGGACCTTTTCGGTGTCTGAAACGCAGAATATCCGACGCCCTAAATGGCGCGCGTCACATTCTTGCATAGCTGTCAACTTTTCTCGCGAGGAATCCTATTCGGAATAAGGGAATTTTAAAAAAGGAAAACATTGGCAGCTATGCATTCTGGGTGACTGCATTTTTTCATTATTTAAAGAGGTTCCTGCAAAGAATTATATATAAAAAAAGAACCATTCAGACGTCTGCCGGATCCAAACCCTGAAATTTAGATAATTCGGTGAGTTTCGAATGTTTAAATTGAGAGCTAATTATTATTCAGAATCAGGGCGGGGGAGATATTGAGCAAACATTCTTGGTTCATGCCCCCAACCTCCAAGATATAAACCCACTAGGCGCTACTCCCCTCTTGGGGGTTAGAGAAGAAACCCCAAAAGCTGGTGAACGGCTCTGCAGGCAGAGCTGTGATAGTAAAAGCAGAATTTCCAAGCCACGTCTAGTCTCTTGCCTTCTTTGTTTATATGTTCCTTTTTGTGTCGCCTGGGAAGCGGCGCAAAAATTTGGTGCTCGGAGGGGGAGAGGTGTAAGGCAGGCGAGAAAGTCTGCGAATTAGGAGCAGAAAAAGCTGTTACGCCTGCTATACACCTCTTGGGCTGCAGAAATGCACTGTCCCTTTAAGGCACACCCTTTCCCCCAAAGGATTCTGGGAACTGTAGTTTGCTGAGGCCGCGAGGAGTTAAAAACTACAGCGCCCAGAATTATTTGGGGGAAAGAATTTGCTTCCGATGTGCTTTATGGGGCGGCCTTAATACCACACGGTGTAATTTGTTAGGGGCTGCTGGGAGTTGTAGCGTGGCTCATTAGCAATGATCAAACCCTGAACAAACTAGAGTTCCCTCCCATAATTCACTGGAGGGGGGCCACGGCGCTGGATCCCCAAGATGCTTTGGGGACTGTGGATTCCAGAATCCTCTGGGGCACATTCAGCCCAGTACTTGACCCCCTTGACCAGCAGAGTCTCTCAGGCAGACTTTTCCCTGCTCCTGGCAGCCGGAGATTCGAACCCAGAACCTTCTGTGTGCAAAGCAGGGGTCCCTGCTACTGACCCCCCACCCTAGCTATGGACTCTGCTTTTCTCCTCCACAGGACATAAGCTAGAGTTAAGAGGAGTTTATTAGAATCATTGTTTGACTTCCTTTTGTGTTTTTTTAACGTTATGTGTAGTGTACTTTGCTCTTTGTAAATGTGTTATTTTGCTGGCCAAATCTGTCTTGTCTGTTCCTAGTGCTCCATTGTTATTCTTGATTATTATTATTATTATTATTATTATTGCTGCTGCTGTTTCCTTCTTCTGACTGCGATGCTGCTTTGTTTGCCGATCTTCCTCTTAAGTTGCGGGTTGCGTGGGCTGATTCCACCCCATACCCTTAAAGCGCGGTGCGATACCACGGCTTCCCCCAGAGAATCATGGGAACTGTAGTTTGTTCATGACACTGAGAGTTGTTAGGGGAGCCTTCTATTCTCCCCACAGAGCAACAGTTCCCAGAATTCCCTGGGAGGTGGGATTGACTCTCATGGGAGTCCTGGGAGCTATAGTTTGCTAAGAGTGTTGAGAGGAGACCCCCATATGCCCCTCATAGTACTATAGTTCCCAGAGTGCTTTAACCATCGATCCCTCTTCCCGGGGGATTCTGGGAATTGTGCCTCTGCGGGGGGGGGGGCGGCGGATAAGGCAGGGTCCCATATTTCAAGAAGTAAAAATCTGGACACGAAAAGCTTTTTTAAAGGAAAGTCGTTGAGCCCAGATTTGCCCGGACACTTAATTTCGTCATTGGAATCCCGGGAAAGTCCGGGTGTACGGCCTTCTCAGCACCCTTGGGTGTCAGTTCCCATAATTCCTTGGGGGAAGCGCCAGCTGTTTAAAGTGGAATCAAAGCGCTTTGAAAAGATGGTGTGGACAAAGCCATATTCAGAGAACCTTATCCGGAATTGGGCCTGGCAGGGGCAGAAAGTGGGGAAGGGGGACACAGTGAGGTCTGGAACCTCAGCCTAAGAACTTTCCAGAAGAGGTCTGGAACCTCAGAAAGAGAGGAAAAAGCTAATGAACAATAGGAAACGCCTTGAGAAAGCACCAGCCTGCCTCCTCCAGATTTTGCTTTTTCCTTTTTCTTTGCATGCATGCATCAGTTTTCAGGAAATGAGATGATTTCCATTTTTAAAGGGAGTTATTAGGAAAAGGCCTCCCCTCCGGTGAGAGAGGAAGGAAGGTTCTGTGTTGACATGGGGCTGAAGACGACACCCCCCCAAAGTGGAAAATGAATGTCGGTGCCTGATCTCCGAAGACCTGGGTTCGAAAGGTGCGCTTTTTGAAGGCGCCCCTGGTGTCTGGACAAAGGGGCATGTCGTGGAATTGTGGCTTTCAATGCCAGGAATTGGATCAATCGGGCTGGTTCCCTTTTGGTCTGGGTAAAGTTTGGAGGGGGGGGCAGAAAGATACAAGGGTCTGTCTGGGTTTTGAAATATATCTATATGTATTTATTCACGCATGCCTGCAACAAAACAATCTCTTTGTAAGGTCGCCAAACTTTATATCCTTGCGTTGTTTCAATAAAGCTAAAGTTGTCCGGCGATCGTTCGTCGTTTCTCGAACATCTTGAATGGGGACTTTAAAATAAAAAACCTGTCTTGTTGGGTAGGCCATATATATATGACCTTAAATTATTATTTCAACAATGAGGGTACCTGAGCGGCCAGCTAAGGCCATTTTCTTGCGAAGAAACTTTTCGGACTGCTTCAGCAACCATCTCTCTTAGATGCTGGCTTAGAACGTATGTCAGAGCCCGCTGGATGAGGCCCACGGCCTCAATGAGAGACCCGCAAGCAGGATCCGATCACAAGAACCCTCTCTCCTTCCTGCGATTCCCAGCGCCTGGCACGGAGAAGCGATCCTTTCCCCCCCCCAACCTGCGGAGACCAAGCCGTCGATAGCCCTCTCTCCTCCGTCAATTTGTCCAGTCCTCTTAGGTAAATCTGAGCTTGCCAGCACTCGCTGCCTCCAGTGGCAGTGAGTTCCACAGCTCAGCTGACCTCAGCTCTCGGCTGCAAGAATGGGAAGGGATAGATAGATAAACTTTACAGTGGTACCTCTGGTTACATACTTAATTCGTTCCAGAGGTCCGTTCTTAACCTGAAACTGTTCTTAACCTGAAGCACCACTTTAGCTAATGGGGCCTCCTGCTGCTGCCGGAGCACGATTTCTGTTCTCATTCTGAAGCAATGTTCTTAACCCGAGGTAATATTTCTGGGCTAGCGAAGTCTGTAACCTGAAGCATCTATAACCTGAAGCGTATGTAACCCGAGGTACCACTGTATTTGCATTAGGCAATGGCCAAGATTATTGTTCAGATAGTGGTCCTTAATCTCATTGCACCCTCGATAAACCACAGCTGACTTCAGCTCTTGGGCTGCAAGAATGGGAAGGGAACCCAGGGCATCATCCAGACTGACCCGCTTCCCACTAAACCCACCGCAGTATAACGCAGATAGGGCCTGCTTTTGGCGGCAGCTGGCGCTCCGAGTAGGGCGTTCCCGCATGCGCCAGTAGCCAAACACACACACACACACACACACAAAAACTCGGCAGCGCCCAAGCCAGCTGCAAGCCCAACTTTCTGCCCATCCGAAAGACTTCTGCTTTCTCCGAAAAAAGAATGGTTAAGGGAACCCACCCTGCTCTGTTTCCTGGCCTAACAAAGCCTCCCAGGGCAGCTGCATCCTGGTGATGAATCTGTACCACCGTGTCTCGTGCGCCAAACCATCCAATTTTTCCTCCCTTGGGGGGAGCTGAACATGGATGGGGTGGGAGTTGAATTTGCAAGGCCCGAGTCTCAGATCCGGAACTTGCCTCTACACTTTCCCTTTGCAGAGGGTAGGCAAGGGGTTTCGAAGTCACAATTTGCTCATCTTTCACAGGAAAGCGACTCCCCCCCCTTGCCGTTTTTTTTCATATCAAAGGTGCCGGGATTAAGCAAACTTTTACTACGGATACCGGGAGTCTATCCTGTTTTGGTAGAGGTTTTCCTGGAGTTGGGTTCTCCCTCCACCAGGGACGGATGTGTGCATTACGCGATTTCTCCCGGAAACTCTCCGCTCAGGGACAAATAAGGATTAAAAAACTGTACTCCGGAACGGCTGCGAAGTTCCGGGCGGGTTTGCTAGGTTACCTTTCGGAGAGGAAGGTCTGGGCAGAAAGTTTCTGCAGGCAGAAAATTGTGGGTCGTGGCAGAGTTGGGCCCAGCAGGCTGGAGGTCTCTAATAATAATAATCATAATAATTTATTATTTATACCCCGCCCATATGGCTGGGCTTCCCCAGCCACTCTAGGCGGCTTCCAAAAAAATATTAAAATACTGTAATACATCAAACATTTAAGGCTTCCCTAAACAGGGATGCCTTCAGGTGTCTTCTAAAAGTCTGGTAGTTGTTCTTCTCTTTGACATCTGCCAGGAGGGCTTTCCACAGGGAGGGTGCCACCACTGAGAAGGCCCTCTACCTGGTTCCCTGTAACTTGGCTTCTCACAGTGAGGGAACCGCCAGAAGGCCCTCGGCGCTGGACCTCAGTGTCCGGGTAGACCGATGGGGGTGGAGACGCTCCTTCAGGGTCTACTGGGCCTTTGAGGCCGTTTAGGGGTTTTAAGGTCAGCACCAACACTTTGAATTGTGCTCGGAAACGTACTGGGAGCCAATGCAGGTCTTTCAAGACTGGTGTTATATGGTCTCGGCAGCCGCTCCCAGTCCCCAGTCTAGCTGCCGCATTCTGGATTAGTTGTAGTTTCCGGCTCACCTTCAAAGATAGCCCCACATAGAGCGCGTTGCAGTAGTCCAAGCGGGAGATAACCAGAGCATGCGCCACTCTGGCGAGGCAGTCCGCAGGCAGATAGGGTCTCATCCTGCGTACCAGATGGAGCTGGCAGACAGCTGCCCTGGATACAGAGCTGACCTGCACCTCCATGGACAGCGGTGAGTCCAAAATGACTCCCAGGATGAGCACCTGGTCCTTCAGGGGCACAGTTGCCCCATTCAGGACCAGGGAGTCCTCCACACCCGCCCGCCCCCTGTCTTCCAAATCAGTACTTCTGTCTTGTCAGGATTCAACCTCTCCTGCGCAAGTCTCATGGAAACAGGCAGGAGGTGAGTTTGGCCCAGCAGGAACTGGCAGCCAGTGCTGGTCTCTGAGCACAGCTGCCGTACGCCAACAAGGCCTCCCTGCTGTCAGCAATTTTGCTGAAGCATCCTGCTCTAACTGCAGCTTCAGGAATCAAGCGCAAGGGAAGCCCCACATAGAGCGCATGGCAGTAGTCCAGCCTCGAAGCAGCTCATGAAGCTGGGTGGGTCCCACACCCCCAGAAAAAAGCCCCGTGGAGCCCCAATCCGCCCCCCAGCACCCCACACCAGATACTATTCAACTCTAGCTTCAGTCCTCTCTCCTGTGCCCCGCACATTCTGCTCCCGAAAGCCCTCTTATTGTTCTCGAACCCACCACACCCGGCTTGGCAGGAAAGTCGGGTGAATCACTTGCTCAGAAGTGGCCCTTCAGGAAGAGGCTCCAGCCACCTTGAATTTTGCTCGTGTGAGGGATTCGCACTCGAAGCACTGTGACACCCCTTTAAACAGCCGCAGCTCTTCTCCCCCCCGGAGAATTCTGGGATATGTAGTTTGTTGAAGGTGCTGAGAGTTGATGTAAAGGTAAAGGGACCCCTGACTGTTAGGTCCAGTCGTGGCAGACTCTGGGGTTGCGGCGCTCATCTCGCTTTATTGGCCGAGGGAGCCGGCGTACAGCTTCCGGGTCATGTGGCCAGCATGACTAAGCTGCTTCTGGCGAACCAGAGCAGCGCATGGAAACGCCATTTACCTTCCCGCCAGAGTGGTACCTATTTATCTACTTGCACTTTGACGTGCTTTCAAACTGCTAGGTTGGCAGGAGCAGGGACCGAGCAACGGGAGCTCACCCCGTCACGGGGATTCGAACCGCCGACCTTCTGATCGGCAAGCCCTAGGCTCTCTGGTTTAACCCACAGCGCCACCTGTGTCCCTTGAGAGTTGATGGGATACCCCCTATTCCTAGGGTTGGCATTTCCCCAAAAGTAAAAATCTGGACAAATCCGCCCAGATGTGAAATGATGGCCCGATTCCCGGACACGTCCAGAAAAACCCAGGCGTATGGCAGCCCTACTATTTGACCCAGGGCCGGATTTAGGTTTGATGAGGCCCTCAGCTACTGAAGGTAATGGGGCCCTTTATATGTCCAGATGTCCTTTGTCAACAACAAATTGTTGCTGTTCTTTTTTGTATCAAATATACGCTATATGGTAATTTATGGATGGGGACAGCAGCCACGAAATTAAAAGACGCCTGCTTCTTGGGAGAAAAGCAATGACAAACCTAGACAGCATCTTAAAAAGCAGAGACATCACCTTGCTGACAAAGGTCCCTATAGTTAAAGCTATGGTTGTCCCAGTAGTGATGTATGGAAGTGAGAGCTGGACCATAAAGAAGGCTGATGGCCGAAGAATGGATGCTTTTGAATTCTGGTGCTGGAGGAGACTCTTGAGAGTCCCATGGACTGCAAGAAGATCAAACCTCTCCATTCTGAAGGAAATCAGCCCTGAGTGCTCACTGGAAGGACAGATCCTGAAGCTGAGGCTCCAAGACTTTGGCCACCTCATGAGAAGAGAAGACTCCCTGGAAAAGACCCTGATGTTGGGAAAGATGGAGGGCCCAAGGAGAGGTTGGAGGACAGAGGACGAGATGGTGGGACAGTGTTCTCGAAGCTACCAGCATGAGTCTGACCAAACTGCGGGAGGCAGTGGAAGACAGGAGGGCCTGGCGTGCTCTGGTCCAGGGGGCCACGAAGAGGCGGACACGACTAAACGACTAAACAACAACAACAATTTCTGGATCTAATAGGTATCTAAAGCCATTTGCACATAGCAAAATATGTATTTTATCAAAGTAATCGTTGAACTGAAATACAATTAAGAAGACGTATATTAATAGTGAAATACAATTAAGAAGTATATTTGTTGTTGTTCAGTCATTTAGTCGTGTCCGACTCTGATTTAAAGAAACAACAAAACGAATTGGACTCCTTGGCAGGTTTTGAAGAAACATACACACATTTATTTGTTAACACAATAGATGGATAATTTAGAGGTTTTTACATTTTTGTAATATGCAGAGAACAATGTATGTTAAGAAATCAGAAAGAGGAACTGGGGGAAGTCGAGGGGGGAGGGAGGGGGGGATACAATTGTTGGAATAATTTGTTATGTGGAAATAGTTAATAATTTATTTATTTTTAAAGTACGGTGTAGATGCGGCCACAGGCTGCCTTGGGCGGCTGGGAGTTGTAGTTTGAGGGCACCCGGATGGCGAAGGTTGGATTAAGGCCTCGGATGGGGCCTCCTGGCCTTTTTGCGCTACAGCCCGGCTGTCTCTCGCTTCCACCCACGCGGCGCAGGAGGTCTGAGGCAAGGGAAGCAGCCTCTGGCCCTTTTGTTCAGATTCCTGCCGGACGCCTGCAGTCATTTTTCCTGCTGGGATATTTTTAGCGCCGTGCCGGAGCAACCCACTTCCTGCGGAGAAAGGATTTGGAAGGGGAGAGAAAGGATGAGGTCCCAATCCGTTATCCTCCCAGCCCCTGACACACAACGACAGCGCAGGCACCACAATCACAACATTGGCCTATCATTTTTTAATATACGTATAATTTTTATTAAATTTTCTGCTTCACAATTTAAAATATACATGTAGACAACCTTAAAATATCCATGCCTTCCCTTCTTCTCTTTCCATGGTTCGTTTTGCATATCATAAATCCCTGCATTAAAAACGAAGATCATGGCCACTGGGCCCATCACCTCCTGGCAAATAGAAGGGGAAGAAAGGTAGGCAGTGAGAGATTTTACTTTCTTGGGCTCCGTGATCACTGCAGATGGTAACAGCAGTCACGAAATTAAAAGACGCCTGCTTCTTGGGAGAAAAGCAATGTCAAACCTAGACAGCATCTGAAAAAGCAGAGACATCACCTTGCCAACAAAGGTCCGTATAGTTAAAGCCATGGTTTCCCCAGTAGTGATGTATGGAAGTGAGAGCTGGACCATAAAGAAGGCTGATCACCCAAGAATGGATGCTTTTGAATTCTGGTGCTGGAGGAGACTCTTGAGAGTCCCATGGACTGCAAGAAGATCAAACCTCTCCATTCTGAAGGAAATCAGCCCTGAGTGCTCACTGGAAGGACAGATCCTGAAGCTGAGGCTCCAAGACTTTGGCCACCTCATGAGAAGAGAAGACTCCCTGGGAAAGATCCTGATGTTGGGAAAGATGGAGGGTGCAAGGAGAAGGGGACGGCGGAGGACGAGATGGTGGGACAGTGTTCTCGAAGCTACCAGCATGAGTCTGACCAAACTGTGGGAGGCAGTGGAAGACAGGAGTGCCTGGCGTGCTCTGGTCCATGGGGTCATGAAGAGTCGGACACTACTAAACAACTAAACAACAGCAACGAACCATTCAGCATTCCCTTACTGAATCCATCAAAACTTGTTTACGCTGTTGAATTTATCTTAATGTTGCCAGCTTTTTCAAGTGTAAACAATCCCCCCCATATATTCAATTAACATTTTCCAATCTTCTCTAAACGTATGTTTTTCTTGTTCCCTTATTCCAGGCATGTCCAAAGTCCATTTTGGGGGCCTAATTCAGCCCTGCCGATTGGATTAATCTGGCCTCCGTGGGCAGTTTATTTCCTGGGGTAAAATCCCCAAAAAAGCTTCAATCCCAGAAAAAGCTCAAGAATTTCAACCCTAAAAAACAAGTTCAATCCTAAAAAAAAACGCAACAACAACACAACTTTAGGGTAAAATCCTAAAAAAGACCAACAAATTCAACCCTAAAAAAAGGTGACTAATTTTGGTTGGCCCTCATGGCTCTTCACTTCTTCAAAACCGGCCCTCTTTGAAAAAAGTTTGGACCCCACGGTCTTACTCTATATGTTAGGTGCGCAAGCTGCGCATATTCCGCCAGTTTAAGTTGTCATTCTTCTTCGGTTGGGACCTCGCTCATTTTCCATTTTTGGAACACGGGCCGCAGTAGCGGCGGACATAAATAACCTTTTGACATATCCTTTACGGACATCAGCTTGTTCACGGAGCCTGTGGCATCCTTGGGATATATAGTTTTATTTACGCATGTGCGCAACCTGAGCAGAGGAGGGAGAGGCTCACAGCATCAACACCCCAACAGACCTTGCTTTGCCGTTTAGTCGCAGATTTGGACCCAGCACAAAGCTGGGGCTCTGTGTCTCCACCTTCCATCCTATTTCCCAGCTCAGCTCACAGCCCAAACCATAGCTGTCAATGTTTCCCTTTTTTAAAGGGAAATTCCCTTATTCCAAATAGGATTCCTCGCAAGAAAAGGGGAAAGTTGACAGCTATGGCCCAAACTCTGCCTCTTGCTCCCCCGCCTAGCAGCCAGCTGACGGAAGGCCTACCCATTTATTTGATGGCACAGAGCAACCTCCAGTGGTACCTTGGTTCTCAAACTGAATCCGTTCAGGAAGTCCGTTCCAAAACCAAAGCGTTCCAAAACCGAGGTGCGCTTTCCCACGGAAAGTAGTGGGAAACGGATCAATCCGTTCCAGACTTTTAAAAACAACCCCTAAAACGGCAAATTTAACATGGATTTTACTCTCTGACGAGACCATTGATCCAAAAAATGAAAGCAATAAACAATGTACCGCAGTCACACAACCAATCAGTCAATCAGTAGCTGGATTGGGTTCCACACAGTCACAAAAACAAAACGAAAAAGAGCGAAAACAAAACCTCAAAATAAATAGCAAAAACAAACAGACCTCAGCGTAACACTCAAAACAGAAGCGTAACACTCCAAACGGAGCACGTTCGGTTTCCGAAAAAAAGTTCGCAAACTGGAACACTTACTTCCGGGTTTGAAATGTTTGGGTTCCAAGCAAAATATGTATTTGATCAAAGTAATTGTGGAACTGAGATACAATTAAGAAGTAGTATATTAATTAAAAAGGTAAAGGGACCCCTGACCATTAGGTCCAGTCGTGGCTGACTCTGGGGTTGCGGTGCTCATCTCGCTTTACTGGCCGAGGGAACCGGCGTACAGCTTCCGGGTCACGTGGCCAGCATGACTAAGCCGCTTCTGGCAAACCAGAGCAGCGCACGGAAACGCTGTTTCCCTTCCCGCCGGAGTGGTACCTATTGATCTACTTGCACTTTGATGTGCTTTCGAACTGCTAGGTTGGCAGGAGCAGGGACCAAGCAACAGGAGCTCACCCCGTCGTGGGGATTCGAACCGCCGACCTTCTGATCAGCAAGCCCTAGGCTCTGTGATTTTGTAACCCACAGAAGAAGTATATTTTGGGGGAGTCCCCAAAAGAATGGAGCCCTAAGCTATAGCTTGTTTAGCTTATACGTAAATCCGGGACTGGAGTCACCCCATTCGTGGATTTCCACTGCTTTGAAATGATTCGCGCCTTGTCGTGACTTCCATGTCTGGAAACCATTTCTGCAAAAGGTGATTTTTTTTTTGTCCGCCTCGATGAAACCGCGACGGCGCTTACACAGAACAAGCGAGATGAACAGGAAGGAAAAGGGCCTTGTGCCAGGGTGACGATGGGCGCTGGCGGCCGTTCTGCCCTGGGATGACTCACCAGCGGAGAAGGCGGTTCTGCTGGCTTGGAGAGAGGCCTGGGCACCTGTTTCCTGTGGCCGCAGGACTCAAGGAAGGAGCACGAGGCGTGTGTGTTTGTGTGTGTTTGGGCAAGGTCTCGTTTCCCCCACCCCACCCCGACTTGCCTCTGTTGCAGGAATTTATGTATAGGTTGGGGGGATGTTGCCCCTCCAGCAGATATCATGCACCAACTACCAAAATCAGCGCCATCACTTCTGTGACTTTGGTGATTTGTCCCCACAAAACACTTCATCACAGTTTCTTCCTGTCTATTCAAAGGGCCTCTGCTGCACGATACCAAATGTAAGAATTCACTGATCAATGTATCTCTGTACTGGCTCACTGGGAAAACTTCAGAAATTCATATACCGTGGTACCTCAGGTTAAGTACTTAATTTGTTCTGGAGGTCCGTACTTAACCTGAAACTGTTCTTAACCTGAAGCACCACTTTAGCTAATGGGGACGATTTCTGTTCTCATCCTGAAGCAACGTTCTTAACCTGAAGCCCTATTTCTGGGTTAGCGGAGTCTATAACCTGAAGCGTATGTAACCTGAAGCGCATGTAGCCCGAGGTACCACTGTAGACATGTGAGCTCAGCTCCTCTGCCTGAGTGATAATCCCTGGCATCCTGATACCTGAGTGCCAGACAGGTAGCCATTCCAGAATATCCACCCTCCCTTCCCCACAGGTGGGCAGGGTTTGCTGCACCGAGCGGGGCTCACCTGGGCGGGTGCCACCCACCTGCTTGAGCCGGCCTTTGACCCGCCCTCGGCCAGGGAGGACAATGGACGGCCCAAGGCCAAAAGAAAAGAGGCTGACTCTTTGTCCAAGCCTCTTTTGCTATTCTTCCTTCCAGGAGCACGCACCCACCCTCCCTCAAATTAATAATTTCTTGCCTCCATAATTTCATCCTAGGTTAGCGGTCCTCAAGTTAATGATTCTTTTCCTTACAGGCTAATATTTTGCGTTCCAGGTCAGCGGGCACTGCTGCGGTCGTAAGATGGTTGCTGAATTCAGAACCGGGAAGGAATTTCCCCTGCATTGGCAGGTTTCGCCTTAACTGCATTTTGTCACAACTTTGGCAGTTTTAGGCCTTGGCAAGGTAACCTTTAGTCTTACATCAAGTTGGGGGGGGATGCGTTCATGCTCCTTCCCCATGCGGCGGCGCTTGCAGGGCCAGTTAAAGGGCAAGAACCGGGAGTCCCTGGCCCTAGAGCGGCGGCATGTAGGTCAAACTCCCGGGACGAGGTCGGTGGAAGGGCATGCTGTGTAAGTTTGCGCTTTGCAGTGCCCTCTCACTGGGCCTTATCTGCCTGCGTATTCTCAGCCAGGCGGGCTGGGAGGGTTCCCTGCTAAGGCCTGTGCCAAGTTTCCCACTTCTGAAGCTCAATAAAGTTGAACCCATAATCTGGACTCTTGTCTCATCATTTGGGGTAAAGGGGTAGGCACCACAGACAGGGTTAGCGCATGTGCCCGCAAATAACAAACTCAGATGAAGACAAAAGGGTGTGATTCACTTGGCTGGGAAACAGGGAAATGGAAATATCTCTTTTGTTACACTTGATGGGTGTTTGGTGGAGGGCAAGGAGAACCATGGGGCAGGGTCCAGGATGCTCAGATTACTGCCACCATACCTCCCCTTTCATGATGTAAATGTGATGTAGTTTGGGGGGGTGTAACATGGGGATTAGCAGCTAATAAAAGTTTGGGTTCTCTTTTGTTCGGGGCTTCCAACTTGTTCCACCTGGTGGCAGGTGGGAGTCCTGTCGCGACAGTCTTCCATAAAGACCAAGCCGACTGGCTGCTGTTTTCCTCTGGTATTCCTGGCTGGTGTCCTTGTTTTTTGTCCAAGGAAGCCCTCAGATTTCTCCGTTAACACCTCAAACGTCCAGAGGAACTGGGCTCCAGCCAGGCTGATCTAGGAAGCAGGCCAGCTGACCTCCTGGTACAGCGGCCGCTAAAAATGTACCGGTGTGCTAGGCGCTGTACAGAATGTGACGCATGGATAGGGTTGCCAAGTCATGAGCATCCCAGATCCTGTGGTTTCAGGGTCCGGTGCCGAGACCTGGGGGCTGCCAGGATGCTCTCAGCGGCTCCCGGCTGGTTGCCCAGGAAAGTACAGTGGTACCTCGGGTTACATACACTTCAGGTTACAGACTCCACTAACCCAGAAATAGTGCTTCAGGTTAAGAACTTTGCTTCAGGATAAGAACAGAAATTGTGCTCCGGCGGCGCGGACCCAGCCTCTTGGATAATGGTGTTGTCCCAAGTGAATGTTTGACGCTGTATTGTTTTTAATATTTGGTTGGAAGCCGCCCAGAGTGGCTGGGGAAACCCAGCCAGATGGGCGGGGTATACCGGTAAATACATAAATAATAATTATTATTATTAAACTTCATCACCACCACCCCATCTCTCCCACTTCCTCATTCATTACTTCTATGGGTGCTGAATGTGCCCTCGGTCTTTGAGCTCTCTGCTCTCCTACTCTCATTTTTTTAAAATATATATATATTTATTTGGTTTTTCAGATTAAAGTTTTACAGTCACGTATCCACTGCACAACATAAACACAAGATCCCAAGGAATCTCTTGGGCTTCCATCCTCCCTTTTGTGCTCTCCTGCTTTCAAGGCTCGGGTTCCGGTCCTGCCTTCTCCTTTCCCATTGTTTCACAACTTTCCCCTTCATCTGCCTCTGAGATGTGACCTCCCTCAAACCACTGTTGTGATTCTATACTGTCTCCATCTTCTCCCTGGGGGGGGGGGTGTCAGGATGGGGAGGCGGTCTCCACCGTTCTTCCTCTGCCCAGTCCCTGACAGGGGCAGCCCCTAGGAATGCCATTGGGGCGGACATTGGAGACGGAGGTTAATTGGGAGATGGGGAAACCCACCCAGAGTGCCTAGGCGTTGGTTTACAGCCAACTCCTTGAGTAGAATCATGGAATCGTGGACTTGGAAGGTCCCAACTTGAATTTTATTATTACGGTCACAGACCAGTTCTGGCTCACTTACAATATCAGGAAAATCATAAAACACAACAGAAATGCATTGAATAATAGAGACAATTCAGATATAGCGGCAGTTAAAAATATTTATTAAATCTCGATCACTAAAATATAACCTAAAATTGTCATTTAAAACCTTAATCATTTTGGTAGTACAGCTTGTTCCTTAGGTTTTATGGACTTGGAAGGATCCACCATCGCCTGAGCTCTGTGCGTACGGCTTTTTCCTGATTGAATCGCAGAGTGTTTGAGGACCGGGACATTCGCAGGGAAACCAAAATGTTTGTTTACAAAACTATTGTACTGCCAACCTTACTGTCTGCTTGTGAAACATGGACCACTTCTAAAAGCCATCTCCACTTCCTTAAAAGATTCCATCAACGGAGTCTCCAAAAATTTTTACACATCACTTGGGAAGACAGGCGAACTAATACCAGGGTACTAGAAGAAGCAAAGATCACCAGTGTTGAAGCGATGAAGAAGAAGAAGAAGAAGAAGAAGAAGAAGAAGAAGAAGAAGAAGAAGAAGAAGAAGGAGAAGGAGAAGGAGAAGAAGAAGGGGGGGACCAAAGGTGGACAGATTATGCCATAATAATAATAATAATAATAATAATAATTTATTTATTTATTTATTTATTTATACCCCGCCCTCCCCAGCCAACAGGGTGGCTAGCAACCAATATAAAAACAAATTGATTGAAATACAATTTAAAAACAAGATTAAAATACAACATTAAAACATTAAAATATTAAAATGCAGCCTCATTTCAATAGAAACTCAAATCAAAAACTTTTTTGGGGATGAAAACATCAGATTTTCACCAAGGCTAACTATCCAGACTGGTCCTACGTGGGCCAGAAAAAAGCGAGGGAAGTCCCCATATAGGAGTTCCATCACAGGAGGAGAAAGGAAAAAAGAAAGAGGGGGATGGAATCAAATTGATTCCAAGCCGAAAGCCAGGCAGAACAGCTCTGTCTTACAGGCCCTGCAGAAAGAAATCAGATCCTGCAAAAGAAGCATAATATGCCCCCCACTCACCCTTTCTTAACAAATGAATGAAAACGGAAGCACTAGCAATTAAAATAAGCGCGTCTCCACCAGCTGCCCCAGGAAGATTCACACACAGCGCATACAAAGCACCAACATTTGTGCCGTCTTATATCAAGCCCCTTTGGATAAAGGTTTCGTGGCAAGGAAAAGTCGGCCTGGGGGAAACCGCACCTGTTGAATTTCTGGCTGACCTACAACGAAGGCGTCCTCCTCCTCACACCTCAACCAAAGTTACAGCCTTTGAAATAAACCCTCCATCCATCCTGTTAAATGGAAAGAAGTTTCCTTCCAGTATCTTGTAGAGTTATGCCTCCCCCTGTGGGTCAGAACTGATGTTGCCTATCTGGGCTCCATGATCACTGCAGATGGTGACAGCAGTCACAAAATTAAAAGACGCCTGCTTCTTGGGAGAAAATCAGTGACAAACCTAGACAGCATCTTAAAAAGCAGAGGCATCACCTTGCCGACAAAGGTCCATATAGTTAAAGCCATGGTTTTCCCAGTAGTGATGTATGGAAGTGAGAGCTGGACCATAAAGAAGGCTGATCGCCCAAGAATGGATGCTTTTGAATTCTGGTGCTGGAGGAGACTCTGGAGAGTCCCATGGACTGCAAGAAGATCAGACCTCTCCATTCTGAAGGAAATCAGCCCTGAGTGCTCACTGGAAGGACAGATCCTGAAGCTGAGGCTCCAAGACTTTGGCCACCTCTTGAGAAGAGAAGACTCCCTGGAAAAGACCCTGATGTTGGGAAAGATGGAGGGCACAAGGAGAAGGGGACGACAGAGGACGAGATCATGGGAGAGTGTTTTCGAAGCTACCAGCATGAGTTTGACCAAACTGTGGGAGGCAGTGGAAGACGGAGTGCCTGGCGTGCTCTGCTCCAGGGGGTCACGAAGAGGCGGACATGATCAAAGCGACTCAACAACAACAACAATTTGGAAATAGGAGCTATGAGACAGGACCCACACGCCCCACAGGCAGCTGCTCTTTGGGTTGTTAACGGAAAAATCCGAGGGCTCCCTTGGACAAAAAACAAGGACACCAGCCAGGAATACCAGAGCAAAACAGCAGCCAATAGGCTTGGTCTTTACTGAAGACTGTTGCGACAGGACTCCCACCTGCCACAAGGTGGAACAAGATGGAAGCCCTGAACAAGAGAGAACCCAAACTTTCATTAGCTGCTAATCCCCATGTTAGGTAAAGGTAAAGGGACCCCTGACCATTAGGTCCAGTCGTGGCCGACTCTGGGGTTGCGGCGCTCATCTCGCTTTATTGGCTGCGGGAGCCGGCGTACAGTTTCCGGGTCATGTGGCCAGCATGACTAAGCCCCTTCTGGCGAACCAGAGCAGCGCATGGAAACGCCGTTTACCTTCCCATCGGAGTGGTACCTATTTATCTACTTGCACTTTGACGTGCTTTCGAACTGCTAGGTTGGCAGGAGCAGGGACCGAGCAACGGGAGCTCACCCCGTCGAGGGGGATTCGAACCACCGACCTTCTGATCGGCAAGTCCTAGGCTCTGTGGTTTAACCCACAGCGCCACCCACATCCCTAATTCCCATGTTACACCCCCCCAAACTACATCACTCATACATCACGGTTACATCATGAAAGGGGAGGTCTGGTGGCAGGAATCTGAGCATCCTGGACCCTGCCCCATGGTTCCCCTTGCCCTCCACCAAACACCCATCAAGTGTAACAAAAAATATATTTACATTTCCCTGTTTCCCAGCCAAGTGAATCACACCCTTTTGTCTTCATCTGGGTTTGTTATTTCTGGAATGGCACCCAGGTATCAGGATGCGAGGAATTATCACTCAGGCAGAGGGGCTGCTGAGTAGCTGAGCTCACATATCTATATAAATTTCTGAAGTTTTCCCACAGAGCCAGTACAGAGATACATTTATCAGTGAATTCTTACATTTGGTATCGTGCAGCAGAGGCCTTTGAATAGATAGGAAGAAACTGTGATGGGGTGTTTTGTGGCGGCAAATCACCAAAGTCACAAAAGTGACTGTGCTGGTTTTGGTAGTGGGCTGCATGTGGAGGATA